CTCAGGCGCTCGTTGTTGACATCAACCACGGTAATCCGACCAGCACCAAATTCGCGTGCGACCGCACAAGACAGCAAACCCACTGGACCTGCACCAAGAACAAGAACCTCCTGTCCCGGCTTGAGCTTTGAAAGGCAGAGGCCATGGATTGCGACCGCGAGAGGCTCAAATATAACCCCTTCGTCCAGCCCCAGGTGATCTGGTATCTTATAACATAAATCACTTGGAAGACGGAAGAAGGTTGCCAAAGTTCCGTGAACCACAGGCCCAGGCCCGGGGCTTGCTGCAAATGCCATTTCCGGGCACAAATTATATTTCCCTGCCAGGCAGAACGAGCAATACCGACAGGGGAATCCAGGCTCGATCGCAACTCGGTCACCAACTTTCAACGTCGTGACTGCAGACCCAATAGCCGCGACCACACCCGAAGCTTCATGACCGAGAGTGACTGGGAATCCAGGGCGGATCATCTCATTTATCCCCCCCATGTACCCAGAAGTGAACCTAGTAGTACCTGTTGAATTAACTACTCTATTAGCGACCTGGGATGTGATCAAATAACTACATCACTGCCACAAACCCCGGTGTACGCAATTCAAATCAAAACATCTCGTGGGGATTCCTTGAGGGATGGTGTGGGAATATTTTCGAATCGCGCATCCCCAGCACCGTAGAGAAGGCATGCTTGATTCTTTTCAGAAACCATGTTATAGATTATTAACACGAATAAATTCGAAAATGCACCATTATGCTCGATCTGAAGACTCGGAGTATGATCGATTTATGTCCCCACGTCTTGCTGACAGCGGGGGTTGACATCATGGCCCAGGACCTTAGGTAGACACCCCTCCTAAGTGCTAAGACATTGTATATTTTGTCGGCGTGGACACGGCCCGTTTGTTGATTGTCCTACCTGAGACCGTCCATGTAGGGTAATTTCCAAGCCGATCTTCCGCTTTCAAGGTCAACGGGGCCACGCTTTGTTCTTGAAGTACAGGCATTATAAGAGGAGAAGAAAATGTCTGTCTGCCAACAGCCTTCTGAAAAATTTGGTAAATTTTTCTGAGCCTACAGTGTTTATGTGAGGAGTTGAGGATCTCTTTTACTTTTCATTATTCTGAGCTATTCATCATGAGTTCCCCGGATATCGGCAAACGAGCCTGGCACCGCACCACCATTTTCAACATCTCGATTGTTGCAGTATGCGCTTTCATTGCACCTGGCCTATGGGCCGCAATGAACGGACTAGGAGGAGCAGGCTCGGCAGATCCTTACTACGTAAATGCAGCCAATGCAGTTATATTTTGCCTGCAGTTTGTGGTCTGCATCTTCGGAAGTTCTCTTATAGCAAAGATCGGCCTCAAATGGGCTTTTTCAATTGGCATGATCGGATTTCCAATTTATGCCTCTAGTGTGTATTGCAATATCAAATACAACAACACATGGTACATTATGCTCGCCTGTGTGATTGATGGCATCTCGTCAGGCATATTTTGGTTGACGGAAGGCGCAATTGTGCTGGCATACCCAGAAAAGCATCGGCGGGGAAAATACTTGGCTTATTGGCTTGCTAGTCGCATAGTGGGACAGATGATTGGTGGCGCTGTCACACTAGGGGTCAACGCCGAAAATAAAGAGAAAGGCCATATCAGTGTGCAGACCTACCTTGTATTCATTGCAATACAAGCCATTGGACCGTTTATCGCAGCAATGCTATCCTCGCCCGAGAAAGTACAACGGTCCGACCGGACCAAAGTCATTATTAATTTACCACAAGGCCTCAGTACTGAGCTTCGGGCTATGTGGAAAATTTTGGGAAGAAGAGAATTACTACTTCTCTTACCCATGATCTTGCAAAGTGTCTTCTCAGAAGCTTTTTTTTCGACCTACAACGCAACTTATTTTACTGTGCGAGCACGCGCACTAACGTCTTTGGTGGCTAGCACATGCGTGATCATTGCTAATTTTCTTTTGGGCTTTTTTCTGGACTGGCGCAAACCGACTCTGAACACGCGTGCAGTGGGCGCCTTCGTGATTATTTATGCATTCGAACTGTCTCTTTATATTTACGCGATGGTTGTCACCAAGGAATATGAGCGACAAGCAACTCCCAGAATTTTTGATTGGACCGACGATGGATTCGGGCGAGGTGCTTGTGTCTATATTTTGATGCTTGTTGGATTCAATCTTATGTACGACTATTTATACTGGCTCATCGGCACAATCAACCGTGATGGTGGCGATATTATTCGACTGAGTGCCATTGTACGTGGCGTCGAAAGCTGCGGACAAGCCATATCATACGGCATTAATTCAATTGACACTTTCAAGCTGTCTGGGGCTGTTACAGTGAATCTGTCGTTTTTCGCTGTTTGCATTATACCATCAGCACTTGTCATTTTCCGCGTTGGCATCATCGACGGAGTGAAAGTACATAACATCCAACAAGACGACATATTGCAGGACGGAATTTCCGGTGATGAAATGGGCGCAGATTCACTTCAGGCTGATTTCTCGAGTACGCGCGGCTCCACATGGGGTGATTCAAAATGAATAACACATCACGAAAATGATTCAAAGCATCAATTGAAAGCAATCGTGACTTGGGTCATTTGTATCTAGATCAAGTCTAATCTAGAGATTCTGAACTTTTTAACGGTTTCCGAGATCGTTCAAGTTGCTGGCGATTACGTTAGTTATGGGTTCCTGAATAACTAATCAGCGACTATTATCACTTGATCCCCTCAATCATGCAGTGCCGAGGCTGACGTTGCGCAAAGTTTTTATAAGCATACAATTAATCAGCGGACCTAGTTCAATTTTCCCTTTGCGATGCTTAGGGTTAAGAAATCCGGATTACTTGTCGACATGGTTCTAATTATGGCGCGATATTCATTGCGTGCTGAGGTCTACGTATTACTCCAATGTGAAATAAACCCCGCAGTATAAATATAAGTTCGACAAAATACTCCGAGACCATTAAATTCCAAGTTCACCCCTCATAATAATGGGCAGCATAGCAACGAACCCCTTCCAAGACGTCCCTACAGGACGCGTAGGTAAAGTTAACCACTGTCTTTTATCAATTGATATTGATCTAACGAATTTAGAGAGCCTGCAAAATCTCGTTACTCTATTTCGCGAGGATAATGATCCGAACAAGACCGATCTTCTTGTTGGGGTTTACAAAACTGACGAAGGAAAAGCATACGTACAGCCCAGTGTAAAAGAGGTATGACCTTTGAGTATGGATTGACTCAAGAGCAACAAAAACAAGAAAGGAGATCAAGTCTAAGTCTTAATGCAGGCAAAGAGGAGATTGTTTCATGACAATGAATGGCATCACGAGTACCGTGCTTCCGCTTTGGGGTCGATCGGGTACAGAGACTTAAGTAACAAGTTGCTCTTTGGCCCCGATAGTCGTCTTGTGCAAGAGAAAAGGTAATTTGACTCTATATTTATTGACGAAATTAGCACAGAGTTTAATTTGAATTATACAGAATTGTCACAACCCAGACTCTAGGTGCAAGTGGGGGATGCCACGTTGGCGCAGTTTTTTTGAAGCAGCATTATGGTCCCTGGAAGAACATAGAGGCTCCCGATATTTTTCTTCCGGGCGATACATGGCGTAGGAAGTCCTTGAACTACTACCCGGAGAATAATACTGACTGAAATTTAGTGAACCATCCGTTTGTTTTCCAATCTGCAGGAATCAAGCCAAGGTTTCTTCCGTATTTTTCTAGCAAAACGAACAAATTCGATTTTGAGGCATTCTCAGGGGCCCTGTTGTCGCTACCACCTCATTCTGTCGTTCTTTTACAGTCTGGAGCCCAGAACCCCACTGGATGCGATCCTTCTCCCGAACAGTGGCGAGATTTAGCATCCATATTTCTTCAACGCGGTCATCTGGCCTTTTTTGATGCTGCGTACCCGGGATTTGCATCGGGTGACATCGATGAAGATCTTGAAGGAGTCCGCCTTTTCGCCGATCTGGAGATCCCGCTTATCTTTGTTTCGACGTATGGAAAATGCTTCGGATTATACAGCGAGCGGGTTGGAATACTCTCCATTCTTGTGCCAAGTGAGGAAGTCGGGAAAAGAATTGAGACTCAACTGCGACTTCTCGCACGAGCGGAGAGCGGGGCACCTCCCGACTTTGGGTCGAAGATAGTCGAAACAGTTCTATCGGATGGCGATCTTGAGCGCCAATGGCGAGAGGAAGTGCGCGGTATGGCGATTGGACTCAAAGGCCGTCGTAGGGCTCTTAGAGCGGCATTGGAGAAGCTGAAAACCCCAGGGGACTGGCAGCACCTTACTGATCAGAATGGAATGTTCTCGTAAGTGACTTTCTTCAAGAACGGGCCGCAAGAGAGCTCCAATACTGATTCATTTTGTTCAGGTATCTTGGTCTGTCCAAGGAACAGGTCGATATTTTGCAGAACAAGTATCACGTTTATGTCCAAGACTCGGGAAGAATATCTATTGCGTATGTCTAAGAAGCCCCTGGAGGATGCCAATTATTCTAACGAATTTTAATATTTAGAGGACTTAACCGCTTCAACATCGACTATACTGCTTCCAGTATCAGCGCCGCTGTTAAAGAGACGATTTCGATTTGAACCTGTATGCGTCTGCCCAAGTAGTCCAATTGTTGACCCAAATTCTTGAAATGCGCATACGATCACGCAGAGTATACTACTCGCTTGAGGTTTGAATAAAGAGTTTGAAATAGCACATTCAACTTCTTATTTATTAAACTGCTTTTCGGAATTTTTGATCGCTTTCTACTTCGCTTTCTACTTTTAAATGCTATGCTATGGTATGAAAAAGAAAAGAAACCACTATTCATGACTCTTGAGGGTCGTTTCTGATATCTTGAAATATCAAATAAAAAATAAGATACGGAATCGGCTCGTATGAATAAAATATAACGCCACCAAAAGACCGGTCATTGTAGTTATTGTTGGTTAGTTATTTGGCGAGAAGAGAACATCTCATATCTAAGCCAGACCATACTCCTTGATCAGCTTCTCAGCACATGTTGCCCCAGTGACATATGCGACTGCTTGGACATGGGCGTTGACCAATACTGGGACAACACCCATATCAGCTATCCGCAGGTTTTCAATGCCAATGACCTTAAAATCCGGATCAACAACGGCGTCGGCATCGCCATTCTTGCCCATTTTGACGGTTCCTGTCATATGCCAGCTTGAAGAAATATTCTGTCGCCAGTATTCGAGTAAATCTTCATCCGACTCTCCCTTGGGCATGGCGAGCTCAGCGACATTGTCCTTCGTGTAAGATTTGTGCTTGGCAACGCGGAAAGAGTCTCGCAAAGCTTCGATCGCAAGTCGACGATCGAACGGGTGGGCGAGGAATTTCGGGTTGAAAAGGAGCGGAGTATCGGGGTCCGGCGACTGTAGAGTGACTTCTCCACGAGTCTGCGCATTGAACAAGAAGACAAGCAGGCAAGAATAATTCAAGGCCTCGGTCGGGAAGTCTGGAATGAACCAATGAATAGGGAAATGGGTAATAATTTCGTAGTGCGGCACGGTCTCTTGAAGGAGGTATTTTTGCTCATCCGCTGGGAGTGCTCGGAACTCAGGTGTAGAAGTGAGCTGCTCGGTAAGCTTGAACCAGCCAATACCTAATTCACAGGCGAACTTTGCCCACGGTCCAGTTCCGCTTTCTTCCCATTCTTTTTTGGCAGCATCCATGGCAGATTGGGAGCCATAGAAAGCCTTCCGATCCGTACTGGTATCAGTGCGAGTGTTGACCATTGGCACGAAGCAGTGATCGCGAAGTCCTTGACCCACCGCGGGTGTGTCTTGGACAATGTCGATATTATGTTGTTGTAATTGAGCAGCCGGGCCGATTCCCGAATGCATCAGGATGCGAGGGTCGTTGAGCGAGCCCGCGGAAAGGATGACCTCTTTTGAAGCATAATCTATATGGAAGTCAGATTAGAATACGGGAACAAAATTTGATAGGAGCAGACTTGGATGTCAAATATGCTGGACTCACATTTCTTGCCGTTCGCCTCGACGCCGACTGCCTTTTTCCCTTCCAAAATGACACGCTGCACTGGTGCATCGGTCGCAATAGTCAAATTATTCTTGTCGCCAGCGACAAGATCCTCTGCTGTCGATCGCAAACCTTGATGAGCCGAGTTGATCAGCACCGACATTCCAATTGGGTTACCAGAGTTATGGTCGGGGTTCAGGGGAATCCAGCTTGCTCGAAAACATCCAATAGTTCTGGCAAGTCTCTTTCCCATTCCCGCGCGAAGCCAACGTGAAGTGGGCCTTGACTGCCGTGGTCATCAACCTTTGGGTCGGCGTATTTCTTGTCCATGCCCTTCGGGATCTCTCCGTGAAAGGTTTCGAGATCCTTTAATCTCCTCTGGATATTCTGCCACCCAAAGTCCTCATCGCCAACAATGCGCGCCCATTCCTGATAGTCATCGCGCGCGCCGACACTGTAAACGCCAAAGTTGATGGCGCTTGATCCACCCATACAACGGCCGCGGCTATAGTCAATCTCGCGGTTATTGCAATTTTCCTGTGGAGTAGTCTTAAAGCCCCAGTTCATGGATTGGTTCTGGAAAGTGATCCATCGCTGCCCATCCACGCGAAGATTCTTATCTTCTTTATTTTCACCTGCTTCCAGGAGGAGAACTTGAGGCTTTCCGGTCGAGTTGGCAAGCTGAGCGGCGAGGGCACTTCCAGCTGGACCACCTAGAGTCAAGAAAAGTCAGATCTGACATAGCGGGGTCAAATTTCCGATGGGGGAGGGGGAGTTCCAAGGTTTCGTATTCCCAGCCGTCGGAGTTTATCTCATTTTCAGGAACCAAGACAAAGACATTCGGGAAGAAGTGGAAACCTTCTCCAAAGGCTATTACTCACTTCCGACAATAATAAAATCGAATGTAGACATCTTGAGCGGAGCAAATAAATCAATAGTAACGACGAAGCAGTAAGGCGACTAGTAGTTGGGGTCAAACCTAAGACTTCCAAGGTTCTCCATCTAGCTGGGGGAGATACCAATATATACTTTAGCCTTCTTATTAGTGACGTGTCAACGGAGATGAACCGACTTCGCGTGGCCTGTTGGGGATCTTAGTCGAAGTTTGAGCCCCTGAGCTGCAGCCCCTGGGGTTTAACTGTCGGTCAACTGTCCGTAGCGAGGAAAAGTGGATGGTTGAGGCAAGATACCCCCACCGTGAAGCCTCGTTCGACATCGTGCTGGCACTTGGCGGGCCGACACGAGCTCCGCTTCCCCTGTTAAGGTGGACCCGGTGGCGCGACAGCTGTGGAGATATGATGATCTTGCTTATAATGGATTGTTTGGTCTGCCAATGACAGGATGTCAGTAAAAAGAATTTTACGTATGGAGTACGGTTCCTTGTAATCCGTATCCGTAAGCGTCTTTAATGAAATCGATTTTAGACTAGCGGGATGATGATCTCTAAACGGACGGAATGGATCCGTGAAGATCCTGTTTGATCCTTCGGCAGTCTCATTTTCTCTTATTGTTCCTTTAATCTCTGCTACTCTCATCTTGGCCTCTCACACTCTCCTAAGTCTAAGACTCCTTATCGAGGAACCGTGAGAATGGGGGGCAATGTCGAGTCATGGGTATTGCTTTCTATAGCCTTGTTCACAATCATCGTCCGTATATTTGTACGATGGAAGCTCGTTGGACCGGCCAATTTCCAGCTCGATGACTATCTCATGCCATTAGCGGGGGTATGTGCCCGCTCCTATCATTTTTTATCGTGTTCGCGCTAAGACAATCCTGCACAGGTAGTTTTCATCTTGGAAACAGTAGCGGCGTACCTCGTCGTTGCCAACTACGAAGGCTTGACCAATAGCTACATGACAAACGAAGAACGAGAAAGTATCGATCCTTCATCTAGGGAGTGGTATAATAGGGTTGCCGGTTCAAAAATTCAGATAATCGGTTGGTCGCTATACACGGCAATTTTGTGGCTGGTCAAAATTAGCCTGGCAATCTTTTATTCTCGCTTAACGTAAGACTCACACCAGACTCTTCATTAAGTTAGACAAGAAATATGCTGATAAGATTGCAGAACGGGTCTTCAAAGTCTACCCACGCGTGTCCGAATCGCCTATGTAATCTTGGGTGTGACGTGGATCGCAACCCAGTTATCACTTCTTTTATCATGCCAACCCTTCCATGCATTTTGGCAGGTAGCTCCAAATCCCGGCAGTAAGTATTGGCCTCATAATCGGTAACAAGCACACTTCTCACTAATTATACGCAGAATATTGCCAACCAACGAATTCCCCAGTATACGTCTTGGTCGTCATGATACTCAACATCGCTACTGATATCTATCTGCTTTCAATACCTTTACCTCTTCTCTGGAAGGTCAATATCAGCCTGAAGCGCAAGATTCCTCTCCTGGCATTATTCTCCGGGGCTGCATTTGTCATTACAGCATCCATTATTCGAGGTGTTACCATCATGAGCGTGAGTTCTCCTAGTAAACGAATTTCCGCCTGATAAGAAACACTTTCTGACAAAGGTCGTACAGTCGGGCCCGAATGGTGCCGCATCTGGGTCTCAATGGGCTTGCCGCGAAACATTTGTTTCAATTATTGTATCTAACCTACCGATCATCCAACCACTTCTACGAAAGGGATTCAAGAAGATCGGTCTTGCTTCCTTCTTCAGCTCCTCGAACAAACCATCCGGGCAATCTTACCCGCTCTCAGGCTTGAAGACTTTAACGAATCGCGGTGACCGTGACACGATGAAGGGTAAAGGTAGTGCTGCCGCGCCGTCACACATGCAGGTTTCGGCGTGGGGAAGTGACGAGCATATTCTTACCGAACCCGAGCCCTCTTCGAAGGACATCACGGTAGTCTCAGAGACGGTTGTACAGAGTGAACCATGGAACTGGGAAGGACCTGGTGGTGCTCATTCGACTACACCACCAAAGGAATGGAGAGGCCAGTTATCTGAACGGTGAATGAGGGCGGTGAATTGTGATGCAGTTACATGTGAAGGACGTGACGTATGAAGAGGGATAACAGGACTCCAAATGTATTATACTTAATATCAATTCCGCAGATTCTGCGCTGCCAATTTATCTTTTTGCCGGTAGTATTCAGGCATTTTCAATGCCTCGCGACGTTGATGTTATGACTGTAGTGTATGTTCTATAACAGTCAGGTTATTTTGAGCTTAACTTAAGAAGCTGGATCCGATTTACCCAATTTTTGGTCTGTCAGAGATTTTGTGTTTCCTAGATGAACAAAGTGGAATCTCATTTGGGGTTTCCGATCTATGCTTTTAGTACAACCCGATGTCACAGGCATCTGGGCACGACCTCAATCACAAGTGCATCCAGGTGTTTTCAGGTTGTTGCCTGAGGTCTCAGGCCTTATAATCAGGAACAAGCGTCTAACTATATAGTCTCTCTAGATTACATCTGCTCATGCTTTGCTTTGTATTTTCGTTATTTCTACTAGTACATTTCTGTAACTGTCCTTCACGTAGATAGGCTGTTGAATACAGCACAGATCAAGCTACGAAATATCAAGCCTCCCGGGCCCTGACAAATCACGTTATGTCCTTTGTATCTTTACGAAGCTCAAAGCCGAGACCGGGAACTGGCAGTATTATTTTGGCTATCCCGAACCGCCTGTGTTCATGAAATATTCTCTTGCTGCTTTTCTTTTGCATCGCGTTTCTTATCAGATGCATATGAGATGCCATTGCCCGAGCAATGAATACAGGTAAATTAATAAGCAAGATCATTCAATCGAAATACGACATGGGAAGTCAAGATAGTCCCGGTGTATAATCGCCAGCCCTCGTCCAGAGAACGCATTTGCTTTATAGGCCCAGCTTTTACGAGAGGTCGCTTCTGTTCCAAGGTTCTCATATATATTCTACGTTTCTGTATACTATTGCGGGAAAGTGTCTTTGCTTTTAGTTTTAACGCCTCAGGTTCTCATGGTACTCACAGATGTGTTAAACCACGTTTATTGTGGAAGGCAACCGTTTCATAGAGCCAGGATCTGTAAATCTAGACAACAATCGGCATTCACCATCTTATTCAAATTGAGCGGGGTAATGCAATTATGTCACGGGGAGCGCCTGATAGCCGTGTTTGGCGGTTTGGGAAGGTGGTTCCGGCGCAGGACAGCCACAGAGCATTAGGCTTTCAATGGCCGAATTCTGTGATCATGGCAACTAAGACTAATTTGTTTAGTCTGGTTTAACTTTTTATCTCTAGTATTAATTTGGAAACACCATTTTGGCGATGTCTACTAGGAAATTTTAGTTGGAATGAAAACTGCCTCAAGGGCGATTGATATGATTCCGCCACATGTTCAAGCTATCCAAGTTTGCCTAGCATAAAGTAGTCACATCATGTAACTAGAGTACAAGGGTATGCAAATATATTTTCAAACCGATTTAGAATCGTTGGAGGTAGAGGTGTTTAAGCTATTTCTGTTCCTTTTCGAGGGAGCCATAAACTGTCGGAAATTACCCTATACAATGATTTGCATAAAAGTCTGGTTTGAAATTTCATAATAATCTTGAAACACATGATATTTTTTACAAATTTATTTCATGAAGTTGAAATCAATAGAATCAGAACAAAAGCGTGATGGTTGTTCAAATATAGCGAAGTTTGAAATTAGTCACAAAGCAATCTAACGGTCCTTAGATCTACGGAACTTCCTGAGTCATATCCTAAAGCTTCGCCAAAATGCCGTTGGGCTGAAGGACAGATAAGAAGCTACTGTCAATATCTTTGATCGAGCGACAGCTTACGAAAAACATGTTAGTTATCAATCTCGTTTTTTGGTATAATTAGAGCAAGAGGTGATCTTACCCTGCTAATGCCATCGTAATACGCAGCTCCTGCAAAAGAATTTTGATGCCTAGCTCAACACCCTTCTGTCCATTTGTACCAAAAATTATTAGCTCCTACCCGGGGGCTTCCAAGGACATGCGAGTTCTACTAACTGCGAGTCCCCACACGGCAGCTCTGCCGATAAAACAGTGACTAGCATCTAGTGCCAATGCCTTGGATATGTCCGATCCCCGACGAATACCACTGTCAATTGCAAGATGAACTTTTCCAGTCGCGATAGGTGCGCATTCTCGCAAGACGTCCAAGGTTGCAGGTACACCGTCAAGTTGTCGACCACCATGATTAGAGATAACGATCCCATCCAATCCAAGTTTAATAGCTAGCTGCACGTCGTCTGCCCGGTTCACTATTAATTACATTGGAATGTCAGAATGAGATGTAGAAAATAAACGCCAGAATGATTAATCTTTTTGAATACTCACCACCTTTCAACCAGATCTGAAGATTGGAATTGTCTCTCAACCACGGAATTGTCTCTTCCAAGTTCATACCAGCATCTACAAAATTTCGCGGTTAGGTCAATCTTCCATTAATTGGGCATAAAACTGACCATAATAAACACCGTCTGAATGAACTGAGCTATGACTAAGAATGTTAGGCCAAGTCATATCAACCGGCAATTCAAATTTATTCCGAAACTCGTTGAGCCGCTTTCCCAGCACGGCATTGTCAACAGATAGGAAAAGAGCTTTACAGCCACTGTCTGCAATTATGATTTAATAAGTGGAAAGGCCAATGCGTAATGGCTGAACAGATATTTCACAGTGAACATACCCTCGGCGCGCTTCAAGATGTAATGTGATTTTACGGTCTTTCAGCACACACATTTGCATGGCATACGGGATTTCTAGCCCTTGGGCCGTAGCATCCTCTATCGAGCAGGTCGAGTAAGATGATAGTACCATTGAGATTCCTGTCGCAGCAGCCGCCCGAGATGTGGCAACCTCCCCATCGGGATGGGCTAATTTGTGCATAGCCGTGGGGCTGAGGCCCAGGGGGAACGACACCTGGACCATTAGAATTTCTTAAACTGAGATCCGGCTCTAAACATTTTCAAGACACACCTTTGTACCAAACAACTCGGAACTGGTATCTATATAATTGACGTCGACTAGAATTTTGGGTCTAATCTTGTACCGGTCGAAGGCAGCTTCATTGTCACGCAGGCTATTGCATAGTCAGCGCGGATTCACTGAAGAAGCTACCTTCCGTATGGCATACGTCAGGAGGTCCATGGGTCCTTCATTGTAATAATCTGGAAACGAGGGGTTAAAATCTGAGCCATGTTGGCATCATGTTATTCTGTCTCCTTTACCTCTGTACATCTGTGGTAGTTGGACGCTGGCCCGGGACTTGAGATCATCGATACAGCAGACATCGGGATCTAGTTCTTCTGCACGATTCGCCATACTTCTTTTTAGGAAAAGACCGAAAATTTTAATATCCAAGATAGGACAAAGAAAAATTGTCCCATTAATCGTAGAAATACGTCGACCAGCCGAGAACGGTCCTCATTCGAGTAAATGTCTTCATCCCTCATGCATTCAAATAGTATCCTCAATCGCCCTATCGGGGCTCAGAAGATGAACCTACTGAGCTTCTCCTCTGATACCCCACCCATACCTTACTTTCCTATTCTGAGTAAATTTGCTTATCATTGAGCTTGTGTGTAAAATGCATATGTTGCTTGCCTAATCCAGCGATCCTGCCTGAACAAGTTACTTTCCCGCCACCTACCAACTGCCCCCGTGGCTATCGCTCAAGGTTTAATTTTCCAAAAGGCCGAGCAGGTTCCGGGGCTAGGAAATGCATTCATTTGGGAGGCAATTTGAACATATTGGTACCCTTTATGTACTCAACTATTAAGTCTGGCATTGAAGGTTTAATGGAGTTGGAGGTTTCAAACTTCGCCACACCATTCCTAAATTTGACGCCAGAACCCCACATTCCCCGGCATTGTGCCAAACATTGAGCTGCAGCAATTCAAACTTGGCTCATTGCCGTCATGAGATGGAATATTATTACATAGGAAGTCAATGCAAGCCAGAAGCAGCTGTTCGGGTGATCTTTGCCGAGTATAATGACGTCGGATATGCCAGCAGAAAGCCCGTACCATGTTATTGTCCTGATTTGACCTCCGTCCGACCGTGGAGAAAGATGCCTTTGTATTACCCCCTGCTCTTTAGTTATATCCCAATTGGCCCCAGTTATATCAATTATTATGCGAGTATGGCATATCGCAATCAAGTGTCCTAGATGAGCATGTTTTCAAGAGTAACAATTATTGGTACAGAACTTCCAGCCCATGGTTTGAATGAGGGAATTTATAGCAAGAGTAGATTAAACTTATACTGATACATTCCGTAACATAGCCTGGGAGCAATCTTGATATATACTAGTGTCAATTTAATCCTTGCCATTCCCCTACCAGCCAATTATTCCATCCGCTAAGATGAGCTCGGAAAGTTCAAACCCCCTCTTGCCAAATCTCATAGTCAGAACTTTGATTGGGTGGTCTTTGTCAACTGCTGATAAGTACGAGACGCTCATAGGTACGAATTTCCAAGCCCATAAACGGGGAGTAATCATAGATACCACAATTGTGCTCTGGGGATGGCCAGTGATCTGATACATGTATAAATTGGAGCGTTTTTCGTTTTCTGGCCTAGCATTCTTTTGACCCAAGCAACATGGATAAATCCTCTACCTATTCTCTCAATGACCCAGCGGGCCCTGATTCTATCGCAATGCCCGAAAAGGGGATGACCTTGCCCACTCACCCTCTCATATTGAGGGTCAGGCGTTCGATCTCCACCGGACCACCACCCATCGTGGGCTGAAGTCTCGTCATGCACAGATGCTTGCTCTGGGTGGGACTATTGGCACTGGTCTCTTCGTTGGATCCGGTCAGGCCTTACAACAAGGCGGCCCTGTATTTCTCGTTATAGCATACTGTCTCTTGACCTTCCTTGTTCTCGGTATTGTGACCGCCACCACCGAGATAAGCTCATATCTCCCTGTGCCCGGCTGCTCTGTTGCTTACTACGCTCATCGATTTGTCTCGCCTAGCATGGGGTTTGCCCTGGGATGGATGTACTGGTACATATTCACCATTACTGTTCCTGCCGAAGTCGTCGCAGCCAGCGTAATCATCGATTACTGGAGCCCTCCCGTCAACATCGCGGTTTGGATCACGATATTCATCATCTTGATCATCATCCTTAACCTCCTTCCCGTTAGTGCCTACGGAGAAGCCGAGTTTTGGTTCGCATCATTGAAGGTGCTCGGGATAATTGGCCTGTTGATAATGGCTCTTGTCTTAATACTGGGAGGAGGTCCAACGCATGATCGTCTGGGTTTCCGCTACTGGAAGGACCCAGGCCCGGTAAAGGATTACGTTGCTGAGGGGGCTACTGGCCGTTTTGTGGCCTTTATCTCTGTCACTACACTATCGGTCTTTGCTTTTGGTTTCGCCCCCGAACTGTTGGTTGTTACTGGCGGCGAAATGCAAAGACCTCGAGAGAATCTGCCCAAGGCAGGAAAGCGATACTTTTATCGACTCGTCGCCTTCTACATCCTTGGCTCTTTTGCTATCAGTATGATCGTTTCAAGTGATAACGATCAGCTACTGGGCGGTGGATCGGGCGCTGGTGCCTCGCCGTGGGCTATTGCTGCCAGAGAGGCCAGTATCCCAGTCCTAGATTCCATCATCAACGCGATTATTCTTACATCTGCAATATCGGCGGGCACGTCGTACCTATACATGTCTTCTCGCGTGCTGTACTCATTGGCCGTTGCAGGAAATGCACCTAAAATCTTCGCCCGATGCACACGCAAGGGTGTCCCTTACTATGCGTTAGCAACAAGTGTTACATTTTCTGCTTTGTCTTACTTGAACCTGTCCGCAACGGGAGCAGTCGTCTTCAACTGGTTCGTAAACCTGATCAACACGGGCGCATATTTGAGCTGGATTTGTGTCTGTCTGATATATCTGCGTTTCCGCAAAATCACCTCTGCTCAAGGTATTGACCACACTGCCCTGCCATATCGGTCTATCCTACAGCCCTACATGGCATACGTGTCGGGCGGGGTGTTTTCAATTCTTCTCTTGCTCAATGGCATGGCAAACTTTTTCCCTGGCCATTGGGACACATCGACCTTCATTACATGCTACATCGGCATTGTCATTCTACTTGTGTTTTATACCGTCCACCGCTTTACACTGGGTCGGAAAGACCCTTGGATGAGGCCACTCCAAGAAGTTGACATGGTTTCTGGACTGGCTGAGGTTATTGCAGATGAAGAAATGGAGTTGCCACTGGAACCGAGAAAGCGTTTCCCAGTTTGGCGATATTTATGGGAGTAGTGAAACAGAGTGCCCAAAGTTCGGATCTAACACCTAACCCTTGTAAAGACTCGATCTTGCGTTTGGTTATTTACATCCAAGTTTGAACGTATTTACAGTGAGGATTCAGAACATCGTGCTATGGCCAAAGGATATACCGACTCTTTTGCTCGCTACCGAGTTGCATTTCAAGTTCAAGTTGGCATTTTGGAAAAAAGAAAAGGCTACCGACGAGTAGTAGAGTGCTATAAGTATATGTTACCAATATTATTCGAGTTCAAGTTCCAAGGTCCAAGTTGTGATAGTTACTACTTACTAGGAGTAGGCAGTAGTAGTGCTGGGTTTTGTATCACGGTGATCAAGTTGCCTGTCTTGCAAGTTGCCTGTCTTGCCGACCTGGGAATTTTAACAAATAAAGCTCGTGAATCCCCGGAGGCCTTGGTTATTACTACATTCCAAAAAAACTTCGTCAACAGCATTGGCAGGCCATTGGAGCCTGAGGCATGAGCATATTCTCTCAAAAACAATTATTGGCATTCACCACTTGAACCACTGACTAATTCCAAGGTTCTAATCGGTATTTTCAACTTCTTGCCTGTGCACTTTGTTCCCGGACATCATTCAAGATCGCGGCCATAACTTGTCGTATTCGTTTTATTACGAACGACTTCGGGAATTCACTCTCAAGAGACATCCCACTCTTAAAATTTTACAACATTTTGCACCCGAGATAAACTCGTGCCTAGTACGCAAGCGCGAAGAGAAAATTTTCGATCATTTCACACCTTAATTCTAGCACAAAAAATCGATTTTTCGGAATTTGGAACCACATGGTCTGAAGCCGCATTCCTAGGATAAATCGCGACAGTACAGGCACCGAGATGACCATGCTAATCATCCATGGTGACTTTCGCAATTTTGAACAACTTGAACAGATAACCAAGTCATTTTCATTTTCATTTCATTTTTTTTGGCCGTCCGCTTGGGATAAATTTTGGGTGATAACATGTACGACATGATTCACTACCGGTGGATTTTCGGTGAAAGCTAGGGCCGCTGCTTGTACAATCAAGAGAACGGGAGAGCATCCGATTTTGTGCGAATTGGACGGTCGGAAAGCACCGCGTTACCAACAGGTTTATCGACCATCGACCCATAATATGTACTTGGCCCGAGCCTCGCTTACTCGTCGCGGCTTGGCCTTTTCGGTGCAGAGCGGACCTTAAATATGGGGCGAATGCGACTGGCCTGCCGAATGAGGATAGAAATAGTGGATCTGCCGTGTGAAGGGCGGGCATGGCGGGCATGGCTTGATGCTGGCTTGATCCCGGCTTGTGAGGCTTGACCCATAGGGCCACATGGGTGAGGCTCATGGTTGGCCAACACGCAAGTTTGGGCCCCAGGGTTGTGATCCCATTATCTAATTTCCAATTTTGACATCGTGAAAATATTTTCTTTAATTCTTTATAATCGCCCGTGTCCCATTCCTTTCTATCCTGCCGTGCTCCCCTTACCCCAGAGTCAACCCGAAATCGTTGCAAACCTCCACTTTTGCGGTGGCGACACATTTCTTTCCTTACCTTTCACTTCCCATCTCATCGTCACATCCAAAATCACATCAGTCTGACTTTGGCCCCTTCACACGACACCCCGTCGACTCTAGCATATTGGCTGCACATTTTGATACCTATCGGTTGGATAGTTTCAAACTTTCAAAGAAACTTGATACACAACAGTCTGGCAAACCTCCGAAACTTTCGAAAGTAGCACCAAAATAGCCGCCTTTCAAACCCCGTTGCGACAACTTCGATCTAATCGATTGACCCATTGAGCATCTCTTTATTTATCTTGTCACCGTGACCCAGATTTCGACAGCCATTGCACCTGCATCATTTGCATATTTCCCCTAGCGCCAATTATTAACATCCGACCCGGACTCATCACCATTGCGCCAACCGATATTGACTTTGCCACGCGCCTCAATCTGACCATTTTCCAATTGCGACAGTGAATAATCGGCCAAGATGTTAGATTTCAACTTCAAAGACCTCATCAAGAATCGAGAGCGTCGCCAGTTCCCGGAAGTCGTGGTGCCCCTCGAAAGTGCCCCCGCGCCTACTAAAGACGATGGCTCCAATACCAGCCTCGACCGGGCTTCCAGCCAGGAAAATGGCTCCGGAGCCGGCCCTGAAAAGCGTAGCACACTGACTTTGGAAGCACTCCGAGAGGAAATCGATTCCACCATCTCCGCCTCGGGTCACAACACTGTCTATGATCGTATGTTCAAGATTCAACCTCACTATTCCCCGAGTTGATATCGGCATCGCCCTTGCCAGCCTTGCTGAGCTCACAAATCAACACCGGAGCCCGATCCCCTTGTCATGCTAGACCTGTATCTCTGACTGGAACGTTATAGGCAAAGCAAAGGTGATCAACAGAGCTATCCAGGACATCGGCATGGGCCGTTACCAATGGGGCCTGTTCATCCTCTGTGGTATGGGTTGGGTCGCGGACAACCTTTGGTTGCAGGTATGATCTAATGATTTGAAACGCGCGATGTCGCCGTTAGCTAATTTTTGACAGGGTGTTGCTCTCACCTTGACGCCTGTGTCCAATGAGTTTGGCGTCTCCGAGAATCACTCTAGATTTGCTACCTGCTCTCTATTCGTTGGTCTGATTGTTGGTGCCTCATTTTGGGGTATTGCCTCTGATGCCATTGGACGCCGTCCAGCCTTCAACTGTACGCTTTTCATTTGTGGTACATTTGGCCTCGCTGCAGGTGGTGGAAATAGCTGGATCGCGTATGTTCTCATCATGGCTGTTTTATCAAGTAGCTTGTTGTTGACCTCAAATCTAGTGTTTGTGCTCTTTACGCATGCTTGGGTCTGGGTGTCGGCGGCAATTTGCCAGTCGATGCTGCTGTCTTCCTCGAATGCTTGCCCCCCAATTCTGCCAACATTTTAAGTGGCCTTGCTACCTGGTGGTCTGTCGGTACTTTAATCTCCAGTATGCTCGCTTGGGCCTTCATTCCCAACTTTTCTTGCGCGGATGCTGCCAACTGCAACAAAGCAAACAACTGGGGCTGGAGATACCTTGTTCTGAGCCTGGGTGCTATTACCTTCTGCATGTTCTTGTGTCGATTCTTCCTGTTTACTCTCTATGAGTCACCGAAGTTTTTGGTTTCTCGTGGTCGTCAGGATGAAGCTGTTGCAGCAGTTCAAGGTATTGCCCACAAGAACAAGACTACGACTTGGCTCACCGAAGAGATTCTAAATGAGATTGGTGGACACGCCGAGGAAACCGAGAAGCAGTCTTTATCTACAGTGGAGATCGTCAAGAGGTCACTTGAGCGATTCTCTGTTCAACAGATCAAGCCTCTCTTCGCGACCAAGAAACTTGGCATCTCTAGTATGTGTGCATATGCTACCTAAACTCCAGGATACTAACAGTTTGCTTAGCTATCTTGATTTGGTTTTGTTGGACTACTATTGGAATGGGCTACACCCTCTTCAATGCCTTCCTGCCCCAGTATCTAAGCGCCAACTCTTCCGACTACATCACCTACCGAAACTACGCCATCACCGCAGTCTGTGGTATCCCAGGTCCCCTCTGTGCTTGGTATCTGGTCGATGTCCCATACATTGGCCGTAAGGGTACGATGGCCGGTTCGACCATGATCACCGGTGTTCTTCTCTTCTGCTTCACGGCTTCTAAGGATCCCAACATCCAGCTTGTGTGCTCTTCTTTGGAGTCCTTCTTCCAGATGATGATGTATGGCGTTCTGTACGCTTATACTCCTGAGGTTTTCCCTGCCCCGAATCGTGGTACTGGATCAGGCATTGCGAGCTGCTTCAACCGTATCGCTGGTCTCATGGCACCTATCATCGGTATTTATGCCAGTACGACTCCTTCCGCGCCGATCTACGCCGCTGGTGCCCTCATTCTGGCTGCATTCCTCGCGATGATTTTCCTGCCGATTGAGACGCGTGGCAAGCAAACAATGTAATTGGTATATGCCGCAGGAAGCAGGAGACTCAAAAAGTTCCAGCATAGCGATCTCCATTTTACTGCATACAAGGAATTATCTTTAATAGAAAAACATGTGTCGACCTAGAGACTCGGTCCTGTCAAGCGGGAAGCTCAAGAAATTTAATTCTTATACTATCATCAAAAGAGATCAGGGATATCCCACTAATGAAATACCTGAAGGCGGATAGTCGTCCCTTTGAGGGTCTTCTCCTGATCATCCTAAATCTAATCATGCTGCGGAGCCTTTAGATCTCTCTTGCAGAACACTGCGTACGCCAGGCAAGATATAACGTCCATAATCGATAGCATCATTGAGATTGTCATACCCACGGATAGAAATCAGTTCAGCCCCGAGGTCAACATAATCGAGAATGGAGTCGATGATAGTTTGATAGGAGCCAACCAAGGCTGTCGATGCTCCCCGTGCATTCGTAGCCGTCACGGTAGGATACCACAAGGCGCGGTCTTGAACCTCACCTCGGGAGGCAATATCAAGCAGTCTTTGAGATCCGACATTTTGAGGTGGTGGGGCATTAGGAGGCGCCTTTCCTTGACCCAATGCTCGGTTTGTATTCAGCGCATCCAGTGTCGCGTGAGCCTTAGCCCAGGCAAGCTCTTCTGTTTCGGCGATGATAGGTCTGAAAGTGACCCAAATTCTGGGGCGGTCCTTTTCACTCCGTCCCGCCTTGTCAGCCTCGGCGTAGATTCGATCGATCTGGTCCTTTGTTTCCTTGAGTGGTTCACCCCAGAGACCAAAAATGTCCGCGAGAGAGCCGCCAATTCGGTATGCCTCATCTGAAGAACCGCCGACTGATACCGGGATGGTGCCATTCACGGGTCGTACTTTGTTACTGAATTGCTTAAACTGATAATACTTTCCGTTCCAATCAAATGGATCTGCGGATTCCCATGCTCGACGGAGGATTTTAATATACTCCTCCAAGCGGGCATATCGCTCTTCTTTGTTTAGAAAGTCGCCTTCCTTAGCTTGCTCGGCATCACTTCCGCCGGCAATAAAGTGAACAACAGCTCTACCAGAGCTGAGCTGATCAAGTGTCGCGAGCGCCTTGGCGGCAACTGTCGGATAAAGTGTGTTGGGCCGCAGCGCGATGATGACCTTGAGGTTTTTGGTCACAGAAGCAATGGTTGCGCCAACGGTGAATGGGTCAAAATAAGATGAATCATATGGAACCAAGGTGTAGTTGAACTCATGGTCATCTAACGTGCGAGCATACCTGACCAAATAATTTGGGTCAATGGTGGGATTTGGGATCGGCTTCAGCTCCGTAGATGGATTCGGGAATGTAAGGCTGATGAATTCGGTCGCCATTATGGTTGCAATTGATCCTGGCTATTTTCTTGGTTGTTGCGGTTCATCCAGTCCTCACCCAAGTCGCAACCCCCGCGTTAAATAAGAGTAAATAAGAGACTAGGTTGAGTTATGATGACGCCAACCTGTAATGAATCGCGTCTTATCACGCAAATTGAGATTACCAATCGACTGTGATCAACTATCATTCGATTTAAGTGTGATGCTTATGGCATTTGGAGACGCAGGAAGACCGTTTCATATGGCGTCAGCTACATCTTAATTACGCAACCACTTCGTGCCGCTTGTGCGTACTTGAGACACCGGATAGTTTTCATCGAATGAAAGTTCGATCGGACATTTTAGTTTTTATTACAGTGGGAAATGACTATGCCAACACAAACATGACTTGCAGGCTCCCAGGCATCATATCCTCCGATACTTCACACCTGGGAGTCGTCCGGATACTTCAGTGTTTGAGGCCTCCTGGCTGGCAACTTTCATCTCTCATCGCCCGGGATCGAGCCATTTTTGTTTTCTGATAAACTATTTCACAATATCATAATTCTCGAGGGTCACTTTATATTGAAGACCCCTATTGCGCAAATCACACGATCCACAAATGTTGCTCTGGGAAAAAGCATGAGCGGTATCGGCACAACAAGCCCATGCGCCCCACCACGTGGGCCGTTATCGGAGCCGACGGTGCTCGGCGCGGACATTTGTCTTGCGGGTGGCTTATCGTTCGAGGGGTGGGACTTTGGTATATCTCAAATTTCTGGGCTGCAGTATGTTCATAATTCACCTGAATTATGACGGAACACGAATTTTTCGAGTATGTCCAGTTGGTTGGAGCGAGGTGGTATGATATCTAATATCGCCAAGAGCGCCCGCCCTACCATACTATTCTCGATATTGACTCAGTTACTACTTATGCACTACCGATGCGTTGGACTGGAACATTCCAGGGTTCCCTCTTGATTTCGAATCTCTGGATTGCCTTGCCTTCTTTGCAAAGCCGCAACAAAGGTTGGTCCTCCAAGGATGTATATATTCCGAGTAAGGTCATCCTAAGTTACCTGGCATGCAGTTAATTTCAATGCCTTCGTCTTCGGCTTCTTTCTGGGATACATGCCCCCGTAATGCAGTGCCCAGGTGCATTATTCATATATCATATCTGTCCGCAGCGTCTTCTACCGGACGATAAGTAAATCGCTCAAAGCGTGCCGGCAAAGAAGTCCCATTAACATCAGAGCATGCCATACCAACGAAAGCACCCGTAAAGCTGCCATGCGCCTGATGTCCCCCACACTCGTCCGACAAAATAGAAGCATCAAAGACCGGCCCAACCTTATTCAGCTCGCCGTTGTCAATCGCATAGTAAAATTGTAAAGCCAGACCGCCACGGATACTCAGTGATAACCTAACCATACCGTCATTGGGGATACGGACTGGTTCAACGCCTCCGAGATCGAGTTTACCTTCCGGATAGGATGCCTCGGAACGAAGGATATTTATCTCTCGATGCCCGTCCGCGTCCGCTGTTACTGCAAGGTAGAAAAAGTTGTACCGGCAGTAGTACGCGACCAAGCCAGCGAACTGCCGCTCATCATTAGGGGCATAATCAACAAGCACCGTTTCGGCATCGTATGAGAAATGTGTCTGGCGCCGTGCAACTAGTGCCTGCTCAAACCAAGATCCAATCGATTCGCGGCCAACAAGCGACAAAGCCCCATCCTCCAAAGAAAAGATCCGATCCGTTTCAGGAGTCCGCAGCCACTGGAAATCCTTATGAAGAACGCCGTCGATAAACGTATATTCCTTCTCCTGCCAGTACTTTGCGTCCACTTCTTTCCCATCACCATCACCAGGAACATCGACATATAAAGACGGAACAGACCCGCCCTTAACATACAACCAATCATCCTCCCGCCAGACAGCCTCCTGGATCGACGTCTCCCGCCCAAGAACACATCTCCGATGCTGTCCCACAGGTCTCCCCATCAAATGCACAAGATAAGTCCTCCCCTCCCGCGTCTCAACCAAATCCCCATGCCCGGCCCTTTGCAGCGCCGCAAAAGCCGTATCCTTCGAAGAAAGAACATGCGTCTGTGGATGCATCTCATACGGTCCCCAAATATCTTTCGACCGCACAAGCGTACAGGCATGGTCATACCCGGTTCCACCTTCCGCCGTGAGAAGATAATACCACCCATTCCGCTTATATAGATGCGGACCCTCAACAAGATCGAGTTCGCTGCCCTTGAAGATATTCTTACGTGGTCCGACTAGTTTCCCCAAGGCGGGGTCGAACTCCTGTAGCGCGATCCCAGCAAATGCACGCGGTCGCTTCCGGTGATCCCAGAGCATATTGACGAACCATTTCTTTCCGTCGCCATCGTGGAATAGAGACGGATCGAAACCGGAAGAATTCACGTGGATCGGATCCGACCAGGGTCCTGTGATTTCCGGTGCCGTGACGATGTAGTTATGTGCGTCTTTGAAAGATCCATCTTTTCGCGTGACATATGTATAAACGAGCCAGTACTTTTCCCCGTCGTATGAAAGACACGGTGCCCAGACGCCACAGCTATCCGGGGCGCCGCGCATATCCAGTTGGCTCTTCCGAGTTAACGGGCGCGTGATAAGTTCCCAGTTTGCTAAATCTTTGGAGTGGTGAATTTGGACACCAGGGTACCATTCAAAGGTTGATGTTGCGATGTAGTAGTCATCGTTGACACGGATGATGGAAGGGTCGGCGTTAAATCCGGGGAGGATCGGGTTGCGGATACGCAGCATTTTCAGAAATTAACACGAAGAGGACCCAAGGAGAGTCAAACACAGTAAATAGTGAAATGAGTAAGACTGGAATTACCTCGTTATATGATAGGGACGTGCGATTGAATAAAATCCGGAATTTAGCCTAATCAAGAGCTTGGCTGGGCCTGCGGGGTTCGACCTTTCAATGGTGGGAGCCCACTATAGCCTAGAGATTATGGAAATATACCCGGCGTTGCCGGTAAATTACCCTGAGGTTCATACTATACTAATAAAATTCCAGACAGGCCATATTCATCATACTTTATTGTTTATTTGAGAAGTTAGTGATAGTATCGTATTCGAAGTTATTACTATGAGGTAGTGTTACAACCTTGGAACTCGGAAGTCTGAACTGCCCAGCCTTGGACTCGGAGGTGGTTGCTGGTAGTACTAGTAACTACTAGTTACTACATTATAGACGCGGTCACAGCTTCAACTTCAAGCTAGGAGCCCTGGAGTAATATATATTGGGAAAATGCAAACTACCTGGGCAATCTAAACCATTATAAATGGTCCAAAAACTGAAACTCAGCGTTCACTATCTAAATTACATTTTAGACATTATTGCTGTTTATAAAATTCGTAAGAATGGAGTTATCTTGGTCCAGATACCAGCTGTGAGTGAAGAGGTTAGCACAATTAGAAAAATATTGGAAAGGGATCATACGTAGAGTCCGCTTCCTCTTCTGAGTTCAATTCATGTGAAAGAAAGCCGTTATTGAGCCAAGCAAAGTCCAAGTGGGACTCGGGGCATCGACTCTCCCACTCAAAGTCCTCATACCGATGACGACGAAGCAATTCGAAGTAATGTAAACGGGAGCCAGGATGAAATGCATGCAACGCGCCATTTTTCTCGCCGTTCTTGAAAGAGCTCTGACAAGAATCACCCCATACGGTCTTTTCCAACCATGAGAGCATCTGAAACTGATAGGCCTTGGCCTTTCCCTCCTTGAGTCGGAACGATGAATAATTCTCACATTGCAATTTCCTGATCAAGTCAACTGCGTATAGAGTGATGCGCTCGATAGAAGTTATCATACTACCATGACCGACTGGGCTTCCAGGGCCCATATAGATGAAGTAATTAGGCATATCCTGGGCGATTGCTGACATATAGCAAGCAGGATCATCTGCCCACTGCTTTTGAAGGTCAATTCCGCTCCGTCCAACAATTGGCCAACGAGGAATAAAGGACATATCAAAGCCAGTTGCAGCAATGATCACATCATAGTCACGCTGCTTCCCGTCGGCTGACTTTATTCCAGTCTTAGTGAAAGAGTTAATTTCTCCCCAAACCACTTCACAGTTCTCAGAGGCTAAGGCTTGGAGATATCCTGGACCAGGGGTGGGTCGGCGACATCCCACACCAAAGTTGGGAATAATCAAATCAGCAACCTCGGGCTTCTTATCAAGCTTGGCGCGCATATCCTTAGTTGTGAAACTGCGTGCAAGGGCTTGAAATTCGCTCTCCCGAACGTAAAGAGGGAAACGAAAGTTGAGTTCCTTCTCAATCTCTTTGCGAAGCGTGAGATATTCCTCCGGGTTCTGTATCCATTTTCTTTGTTGTTCTTCATTGTAGCTCATGTTGGAAACGCCCTGGCCGATGAATCTCGAACCCAAATTAGCCGTAACCCAGGTTGGAGATCTAATGTAGGCGCCAACATGACTGGCAACCTTTTGAACAGCTGCAGTGAGTTGAATTCCACTACTTCCGTTGCCAATAACAGCGACTCTCTTCCCATTGAGGTCAATGGAAGGGTCATAGTTGGCGCTGTGGGCAAGGATTCCCTGATAATTCTCGCGACCGGAGACATCAGGCCATCTCCAGTTGTTCAGGTAGCCACTAGCGTTGATGAACACATCACATTCCTCGAGGATCTCATCACCAACTTCTCCATCCGTGACGCCCTTTGAAGAAACAACGGTACGACGACCATCCGTGTTTCTGCTGGACACAATCCACTTTTGCTTTTGCTCATCCCAGCGTGCGCCAGTAATTTTGCGGCAAGTTGTGATATATTTGCGTAGATCAAATGTATCCACTACATTTTCAACATATTCAAGAATCTCGGGCGCCGATACATAGAAAGAGGACCATTTGGGATTGGGTGCCCATGAGAACTAGAATTTTGTTAGTGCAAAATAATACTTGAAAGATTGAAAGCCGGGTCAACTGTACCAAGTAATTATGTGAGGGAATATCACAAGCACATCCGGGGTAGCGGTTTTCAAGCCAGGTTCCCCCGAGTCCAGCATTCTTTTCAAGGATCTGGAGATCGACATTAGACAATTGACCACTTTCCACTGCGTGAGCGAAAGAAATTCCACTGATACCAGCACCAGCAAGAATAATCTTAAGTCGCCTAGGGGTGTCAAATGGTAGCTTGGACTGTTCATAAGCGACTGGGTATTTGTTGCGGTATACTTCAGTCGCTTCAATAGGCTTGCATCGTGCTTCTCCACCGGCACCGTTAGGCTCGATAGATTGAATCATGGCCATTTGAGGATTGAAGGCTTGACAGCTTAATTTTCATCAAAGGGATATCGGAGTCGGGTTTTGTAGTAATTTGAAGGATGATTGGAAAGAGTGAGAGCATACTTATGTGGAATTCTTCGTTGAGACGATATTCCGAGCGTTATGATGTACTCTGATTGAATGATAGTTCTTTCATTCCGGAAACCACGTTTTGCAAGGTAACAAGAGCCATTGCAAGGCCCATCGCGGCTGCGCGTGGAAAATGCCAGGTGACGGAACGAATGAATAATAACGGAACAAGGTGATCCGCGGCACCGCCATGCTTTCACGTTCCGAGAAGGAGGGGGTTCCACGTCAACCAATGAACAAGTGAACCTGTCCGACAAGGTAGAATTATGTGAATGATCAGTCAGAGTCTCAATTAGTCGGATCTTGATAGAACTTCCTTTCCGAGAGAAAACTAACTATTAGTGCATATCTACCTAAGTTACCTTCAGTACCCTAACATTATTTAAGACCACGGAAATATTGTTTTACTGTCTTCAACTTTATTACTCACGCAACTCCATATCTTATTCGCAGCATTGCAGTTGATTAATATTCACTCAAAATGTCTTATGCCGATCTTAAGGGTAAAGTCTTCTTTCTGACGGGAGCGGCTTCCGGACAGGGCCGTGCTACTGCTATCTCCCTTGCTCGCCAGGGTGCAAAGCTTGGTTTGCTGGACCTTAAGCACCCACAAGAGACACTCGATGAGATTAACCAGCTTAGTGGAGAAGCCATTGGGTTTGAAATTGATGTCGTTGACTCTGCCGGAATCGAAGCTGCTGTTAAAGCGACCAAGGTGAAATTTGGAAAAATCGACGGTGCAGTCAATCTGGCTGGTTGGATTGGAACTCAAGGATTCAAAGGAAAGGGATATGCACTTGATGCGATCAAGGATGAAGACTGGGATAGGATGATGGCGATCAATCTTAATGGTGTTCGCAATAGCTTGTCCTCGGAAATGAGACATATTAGCGATGGCGGAAGTATTGTCAACATTGCGAGTATTGCGGGCCAGCGAGGATCTCCTTGGAATGCCCCATACGGTGCGGCAAAATGGGGTGTCATTTCTTTGACCAAGTCGGCCGCTCAAGAACTCGGACCTAAGAACGTCAGAGTAAATGCTATAGCTCCGTCAGTCAAATAATTCTCACTGTATGAAAATGATCTCTAACCGATAATAGTGGAGTTGTCGATACAGCCCTTGCTACTGCGCTCGGTGATGCTGATGTTGTCTTCCAGAGAATGGTGTCTCGGAGTGCTCTTCAGCGACTTGCCCAGCCTCAAGAGATCGCTAACTGCATTCTATTCTTGCTTAGCAACTCCTCGAGCTTTGTCACAGGAAGTGTAAGTTCTTTTTTAACTGGACTTGCTAGATCAAGGCTAATATTGCTTTTTGACTTCAGGTTTTGAATGCCGATGGTGGATTCCAGTAATACTAGTATGTATATGGATTATGCATAGGCATAGAATTGAAAGATACTGCACTATATGATTATCTTGCCCCACAGACCTCGGGACAAGCGTAAGGTCTGTAAATGCTACTAGTAATACAGTAAATTAGGTACTGCAACCTGTCATTGGGTTGAGCGATCTTCTTTATGTTGTTCGATATGCAAGGAGAGGGCGGTTAGGATTGCATAGGCTTTCTTTTTCTACTTTGTAAATTTGACATCAGTCGAATGTTATAACAACGCTTCTTGGCTACCCTATGGTATTTCGCTTCTATGCGAAAAGTCCACCCATTATTCGAGGGACATGCAAGGTCGCATAATTCCAATTCGAGTTACTATTTGGTTACGGTACTCCATAGCGGCAACCGTTCCAATTGGTTTGGTAGGACAATTCGGGCTAACCGTCCCTGTGACCGACTGTACCTGTAGACGTCCAAAGTTTGCAGGTAATACTAGTAGGAGTCAATGATACCACTAGTATAACCGGTTTTAAAGGAACCTCTTCTATAAATTCAGGTTAAATATAGGACCTAAGAATACCCCAAATGGAACTACTGTAAAGTACACCTGACACCAGGAACCCTAGAAGCTAACAGTGAGCGTACTCTGTTATGTACCCAGATGGGTCTAAAACTGGAATGAATAAGTCAATGAGATCGGTATTAGGATGGCCCGTTCGCTGCAAAAATTTGCTTTTGGAATTCGTGACTACTACTCAGCCGGTTGCCGCTAGTGAGCGCCGTTGTCAATATTTAAAAGCTAAATATTTTAAAGACAAGAGTAATAGAGAATGAATATCTAGCAAAACAGACCAATACTCTATCGTCTCATTGTGATGATTAGCTAGATCTCATTTGCACAAAGTCGACAATAATATCAAGCCCTTCCTCAGTAGAATCCCCCATTGGGATCAGAGTGAAAGCATGACAGGCCCCTTGGACGATACTCAACTCCGTGTCGTTTCCAGCCTGCTTCCATCTGGTCGCCATGAAAATACTATCGTCCACGAGAGGTTCAATCTGGCCCGTCAAGAACAATGCCGGAGGCATTTCCTTCAAGTCTGCATATAGAGGAGATACAAGCGGAGCTTTCCGTTTTTCCATAGGTATATGGCTGAAGCATGCCTCACAGAAGTCCATCATGCCCTGTTTACTCAGTACAATGCTCCGAGTATGCTCAAGAAGCGACGGCGTATATGTGAGATCAAAGATTCCGTAACCAGCAACAATGGCATCCAACTTTGATCTGACATCAAATCTATGATCTCTGCGCAGGGAGAGGCCCGTGGAAACCGCTAGCCATCCTCCGGCAGACTCTCCACCGAGAATCTTCAATGGTCCACCGAGATCCTTCTCGCCCGCAGGGCTAAGAGCATACAGGGCTGCATCGACGCAATCATGCAGAGGCTTAGGGAAAGAGTTCTCAGGTGCAAGTCTATATTCAACAGATACCATTGTCAGACCCAAGCGGTTAGACAAAGTAGTTAAATAGGTATCGTATGATGCATTGCTCCCAATAACGAAGCCACCTATAAATATTTCCCAAGTAAGCCAATGCTCTCAATCTAATGATGAATTCGCAGAAGCATACTTAATCACTTACCTGCGTGAAAATGTAACCAGGTTCCCCTGCTCAGCTTTTCCCTGGGGCTGATGATTCTTAATTCAATTTGATATCCATCTCTTGCAGCCACATACACGAGCCGTGCGGTAGGATTCAAAGTTGGCGCGATGAATCCATTTGTGCCCTCCCGCCGCATTTGTCGATAAGCAGCCGGTGATTCGCATTCTTGCCATTGAACGGCTTTAGCAAGCTGTTCTTCAAAGTTGTCTAAAAGTTCCAGACGAGCCTTCAACTTAGCTTCCTCGATAGGGCCAGGCAAAACGTTCAGTGCCATTGATATGTCAATTGCCCAGTTTAGGACGAATCAGTTTGGACGAAAAATATGTTGTCACGCACGGGGGAGTTATAATTCTTGTAGAAAACTTAAAATAGCGATGCATTGAAGATTGGGGGATCTCTTTGATTGGTTACCAACTAATTAAAGACGGAAAGGTCTCGACATGGAACGGAAGGCCCGTACTTTACAAACGGAACCCAACGGAAAGATACCAGCAGACATTCCGTTGGTAGTCGCTAAGCGAAAACCCTTTGCATAACTTATTACACACCTGCAAGGTGAGATTGACAGAATCCTAGAGCTATGAAGGTAGTGGCGTATGTGAGATCACTCGATATCCTGGAAGCTGCGAAGCCACAAGGCGATATTTGGTGCCTCGGTCACCAATCAGCCGTGTTTTAGATAGCACTAGCAGAATGATTACTTCACTATAACCAGGCCATGCGACCATGAGAGCCCCTAAATCCCCACTTTGGCCTATTGACAGATTATGAGGTTCCATACTAATATCGGCCATGTGATGGGATCTGCGATGCCTCCAAAAGCTCCATGAAAGACTTCTTTTCCAGTGCCGTTATTCACTGCTTCTAGTTATAGCTATATCCAAATGAGCCTGATTGCTGACAAATACCTCAAAGTATCTAGTGTAATGGGGAAGATAGCTCATCGAGTATGAGATAGCGGTGTGAATAGATTTCTATGTGATATAAGACTACACTGCCTGCAGAAGCAGACAATCATACCTCTCTTCTTCTTCTATTCGTTGATTGATCCTATCTATACCCCTATTACCCCTCACTGGCTGAACATGGCTTGCAGACAGGGTCCCCTATTAGGTACCGTGATGTTATTAGTATGAAGTCATAAACATTCGCAAGGGCAGAAATGACGAGTACTAGTAGGCAGAGTGTAAAATTCAATTTAACATGCTTACCTGTTACGCGTCAAATTCGAGTCCCGAGCTCACGCTGATATCTGGGGTGTATCAAACAAGAAGACTCAGAGTGATGTGTATTTACACCGGGCATTCTCCGTACTATTTATTTATAGTACCTAAGTCTGAACCTACATGATCGTCATGTTATACATACACATGTCAACCATTGCCCAATTCCTTACTAGCAAAAGTACTAGAAGCATGGGCTCAAGCTCTCGCAAAGCTGGGAGGTCTATCTTCGAGCCTCCCTGACTTTTAATTGAACAACAAGCTCGTTCTTCTCCCAAAGAAAGAATGTGTTCTGCTTTTCCCACCCGATTGATTCCGGGACAAGGGTGAATTCAAAATTATATAGCACCTTAGCAAGAATGAGACGCATCTCGTGGTATGCCAGACTTTATCAACGTTAGCTAGAATATCACAAAATTGGTATATCAGGGAATGTGCATACTTTCTTCCGAGGCAGTTACGAGGACCAAACGAGAATGGTTGGAAGGACGCCTTGTTATCAGAGGCGAATTCACTGTCGATCCAACGCTCAGGAATAAAATCATCGGCATGCTTGAAGTTTTTGGGGCTATGATATGTGGCCCATTGATTGACCGATACTGCAGTCTATCAAATTATGGTGGAGTCAGTAACTGTTTGAAGGATTTTTGGACTGCCATGATACCTTTCCTGGGACATGCTTTCCACAAATGAGTAAGCCGTCATCGGGCGTGATACGAGGCAGACCAACTGGAACTGGAGGGTAGACACGTAGTGCCTCTTCAATACACGCATTGAGATATTTCATATGCTCCAAGGGTCTCATCTCAATATCCGAGTCCTTCTCGAACGTGTCCAAAATCTCCTCGACAATTTTGTCCATTGTTTCGGGTTTCATGAGAAGATTATATAGCAGGCCACTGAGTGTAGTCGCAGTAGTCTCGGTACCAGCAACCATGAAGACTTGTGAGTTGGCGTACATTTCCGTACGGCTGAGCCGAAGATCCTCCTTTTGGTTCATCACAATACCCCAGATATCAGGCTTCTTCAAATCAGGGTTATGATCGATTCTTTTATCAACACGAGCCTGAGAGGCTTTATAATGAGCGATAGCCTGTTGCTTCAACACCCGAGGGATAAAATTCTGAGCAATGAAAGCGGTCCAAGGCCAATAGCGTCCCAGTCTACGCAAAGCGTTAGTCTTCATGCTAGAGAAAACTGCGGAGACCCAATTCGTATCGCCGGTTCCCAGCAGAAGATCCAAGGAGTCACCAAAGGTCAAATCACCCATGATATCAAAAGTCGTCAAGTTAAACATGCGGACCATGTTTACCTTCTCCTTGGAATCTTTCTTAATTTTGGCTTTCAGGGTCTCGACCAACATGTCGACATAATTGCAAATCAAACTTTGCTGGTCGCGAAGTGCGCGATCCGAAAAGGCATGCGAAAAGTTGCGACGGAACCGAGAGTGATCAGGTCCATTCGCACGAATGATATCTGGAGCTCCATTGAACGAAGGGCCATAGAATCGAGTGTCTTTTTCCGTGACCTTTTTTCCTACAGCGGCGTGACCATATATCCCCTTCCATGCGTCACCAGATGCGTAGCTCAACTCATCTGGTGCCACACGAACTACATCGCCGTAAGCAACATGGAGGCTAGTAACCCAATGGATAAGGTCGCCTTTAAATGTATGGTAGAGTTGGGGTATGCGTGATGCACCGGCAAACCACGGCCCAGGGTATTTGGTGAGAGGGTTGATGAAGAGGTCACGAACTACTTGCATAACAAGTAAAAGAAAAATCTATGCAAATTAGCCTGTTAGATACTGCACGAGATACAAATGGAACGTGCATACAGCGGTGGAGAAAACCAGTAGGGGGCTTTCATGGAGAAGGTTTGAGGCAGATTGAAGAAGCATTGTGTCGGTATTACCAGACGTCCGATGACTAATATAAAACAGTAGTCGGATCGATATTCAAACGAGATACGATTGAAATAGGATGGCGCAACCTAAATATATCAAGACCTCCGGCTGACTCAATTATTCTTTGAAATTTATGCAGCGAAATTTCCTCATAGCATTACAGCCACGCTAGCTTCATGTCGTAACATCTTCATGCTAGATCATACAAGGGAGTGCGTAAGTTTGAAACAGAAATATAATCTCCTTCCCGAATTGGTCTAATGCCCGAGTAGCCAATCAAAAGGCGAGTATTATGCTTCGTCAAATAGCTAATATGCTTTCCGCGGAACTAAAAGCATGTCTAGAATTCCGGTTCAGGTATTCTTGTTGTAGTAAGACGTTTTCTGATTATGCAAAATATTCTACCACTATTAATGAATTCTACTTACTTCGAAGCGGGGAAGAAACGGAAATTTTTGGAAGCAAGATATCGCCATCTGGTGAATTCTTTCCACTTGTTACATGACGCCACAATATCAATCTATGCAAATAGAGATAACTTGCGTGAGCGAACTGGGCTTTGAGGTTTCTCATCTTAACAGTTGCTCATGCGAAAGGAGTTCTTCCGGATCGAGATGAAGTACAATTCAGAGAAAGATTGCCCAATTCCATACTTTCAGAGCGCAGATCGGTTAGCATTTGGCCCTGAAGATCATCGGAATTAAAAAGCCACCCGTTCATCGTGAAAATTTCAGTTCGACCCATGGGTAAAAGTGGTAACGTTTTATTGCCCTCTCCCATGTGTATAGGCTCTGAAGGCTGGTTGGAAAAGTCACCCCAAAATGAATCCGAAAGGGCATCAAGATCCAAGGAGCAGTCTAGGGGCATGTTTTGGTCCGTTGCATTTTGACCAGATACAAAAGCATCAAGAGAGCTATACTTATCATTCGGCGGCAGAAGATCTTTTAAGTAATCATAAATCTTGGATGCTGTTGCGACTGACTTGGATAAAGATTGAAGGGCCTGACTGGCGCCGTCGATCAAATCCTTCAAAAGCTTATTTGATACTACTGGGGCTGCGCGACTTTCTTCCGGCAGAACATGATACAGAGACTCGACCAATGCTGTTGTCAAGATGTATCCAATGGGCTTTAAAGAGGTAGTCGTAGCCATGTAGTTTCTGATTGCCTCAATGATAGCCTTGCAGATTTCGATCGCTGTTTTACGGCGCTCGTTGTCATGTTCGTCGGATGAGAGAGTTTTATGCCGAATGCTAAGTCGCAAAGATTGAAATCGCTTTGATGAAAATTAGTATTTTGGTAACTGGGCAAGGGACTGGTTGGAACCTTACAAGGAACACAATCAGCCTCCGACGAGCATGTGTCTCCCCGTCAGCAATCATATACTGGGAAACCATAGAAGACTTCCAATGGAGGTTTGAAGGTATTTGCCGATACGCGATCATAATCCGAGTATCCATCATCTGTGACTCCCCCCCAGTCATCTGCCCTGGGAGCTTGGGGTGAGAAGAATCCGTCCCAAATATGAGCCCAGAGTCGACTGAAAGAAACGAGGCTCTGCAAGGTTTCGTGCTTGCCCGAATTAACATTATCCTTGAGATTTCCAAAGTCGCTCACGGCGCTTTCATCTTCGCGAAGGAAATAGGTGATGCCACACTTTTGTGTGATACGTTTATCGAGAAAGTAAAGTGTCCACCAGAGCCCTTGGCGAGATACAATTTCGGATTCATCAGAGGGCCACAAAGTTTCGTTATTGAGCCCAATTTGGAGCGCGATTTGAAACCCTTGTGTGATGCTCTGGAGGGCCATATGATGCATTGACATTTCCAAAAGATAGGCAGATGATGTAGTGTGATAAATGACGGTTTCAAGATCCCCATCGTGAAGCTGAGTGAAATGTTGCATTAACTTAAGGCCTTGGAGATAGTTTCGCGAGATTGGCCTTGGATTGCAAGATTCAATCGGAAATGTGAGTGATTCGGCGTATGCTAGCATATTCAAGAGAATTGCGACAATCTTGCAATGTCTAGAATCTATAACAATTTGATGGTTGCCATTGTGAAATCCGTGAAGCGATAGAATTTCGGAGAGTCGCTCGTATATCATGTCCTGATTTAAACATGGAAAGTAGGACTCGAAATCCTCGAAGAATTTGCTCACAAGGTCCCACAGAACACGCGGCGCTGGCAACTTCACTGCGGCTAGCAGATCCTGGAAGCTATTGTCGGGGTCAATCAAAGCACTTCCATGTCGAAGCTTTCTCAGGGTATTGAGCTGGGAATCGATTGGGAGGCTGTTGGATGGGGGACTTGTAGCTTCGATCGTATCTGGTTCTGACGGTGCTTTGAGTGGGCTGGGGATCTGCTGAAACGAGGAAGGGCTAGCGTTCGAACTATTACAGAACATATCTCTATTCACAATCCAGGTACTTGAAGGCGCAATTGTTGTGGGTGACTCATCCGAGTCGGACACATTCGCAATGACGGCCTTGACACGGGCTGCAGTTTGCATATTCGTGTTTATTTGGCTGTTAGCTTTCGAAAGTGCATTGACCTGCTCCTGTAGTTGAAAAATCTGCTCTTTCAAAGACATTTTCGTTTTCCTTCTCTTTCGCGCGCAAGATGGAGGTGATGCTGGATCGGTGTATCTAGACATTCTCAGTTCCACATTTACAGAACTGGGTGATAAAAGAAATTCCCACTCTTTCCCGGCACGCTTCCTCTGTGAAGGTGCTTCATGCTGATCGTCTCCAGCATATTGGCATTCTATGCTTCGCGTTCGGCAACTTGAACATCTCCGCTCCCCTGAACACTTTGGGTGCGAGTGGAATTAGCAACCTCAAGTCTCGAAATAGGCGACTCCCCCACCTTTGAAAATTAGGCTCACCTTTATCTTGCGTCTCTGACATTCAAAGCTGGCGAGCTTGAGTGTTAACTTCAAGTCGACGGTTACATAGTGAAGGAAAATACTAACCATGCTTGCAACGTGTACTTGTCGCGCTTGGAGCCTTCTTTGCGGTTAGTCGCTTTGGGCATAGGGAATGATGGTATGGCCTTTGTTCGATTAGTAGATAGAAAGCTGTGGGATTCCTTATCAAGAGAACAACGGCTCAGACGTAGGGTCAGGACATGTGTTTGATATGATCTGGGGAAAGAAAACAGAGAAGCTGCGGATGTTGGGGGACGGGGGCAAATAGAGATCTCCACTTTCTTTTGCCATACAGTAAATCGAGCGGGGAAACTAGGTTAGCACCGGTACTACTCACTAACCAATCGTGTGGATCCTGGCCAAATTATGCATCGGCTTATGCCGAGTTTTGGTAGCATAAGCGCCCTCGGTGATCCGGGTGATCACCTACCTGCCCCGGATACGAAACTTACATTGCTGGCAACTTAGTGGCCCCGCGCACCCTTTTTGTACTATGCTGGGACCTTTTCCCATTCAATCAAATCGGTCGTCCCATTTCCACTCATATTATAGACATGGATTGGAAACACTCTGAAGACTTCTAAGCCTATGAACCCCGGGCTTGTACTAGTAGTATGTAGTTTAGAAGCAGTTTTCGCCAAAGCCGAGCCTATATATATAACGGCGACACTAATGCTGTCATGTCCACTAGATGGCCTCAACCACGATGACGAAGCTTGAAGATGATGTCGAAATCCATCAAGGCTGACTCTAGGGCTTTCCACCCAAAGTCTTTCCAAAGTTCCAAGGCTTAATAGGTTTCTGGAACTTGAAGTTCTGTTTGCATATCTATCTTGCTAACAGAAGCTGCGGTTGCTCTCTCTTTGGGGGTTGAAAACAAAACACTAGGACACTTCGCATCAAGACCTTTTTCAATAAGCAATTCGGCAGAATGTTCCTCCCAATTGATAACTAATTGCGAATACCTCTTTGTATTTCTTGCGCTCAGGAGTTGGATTGGATTATACAGCCTGGGACGATAGCTCTCGGAGTCTAATGTTAGGCGGTTCGTATTACGGAATCATCTTGAAGGGTAAATACGGAGCGGTTTCCACGGAATGGAGACCAAATCTGTTCCGAAATCGCAGTGAAACACCCCGTCACGTGAATCACTTTTTAAAGTTATATACAGAAAGCTGGGGTCAGAGGGATCAAAGTATAGTCGTCGTGACTTTTAATGACGAGGTCAGCTCCAGAAATGTCGATTTTACCCAAGATGCTAGATGGGGTAGCTCTTGTGACTGGCGCAGGTTCGTGTTCATATATCATGAAGCCCAAATGATCAATGTTAATCAATCCGTTTGCTAGGATCTGGTATTGGACGTCAATTATGCCTAGCCTATGCTCGTTCAGGCTGTGAGGCTATTGCACTTGCCGATATTAGAATTGAAGGAGTGCGAGAAACCATTTCGTTGATTCAAGCCGAACAAAATGATGTGCAAACCTTGGCAATAGAGGTAAATGTTGCGAACGCTAGCTCTGTGAAGGATATGCTTTCAAGAATTATTGAAGTATTTGGAAGAATTGATTATGGTTTGTTTCCCAAATTCACGATAGAGTGTGGTACTAGTCATAACTTCAAAACACAGCCGCGAATGTTGCCGGAATCACAACAACTGCTCGAGTTCCTACCGCCCGCTATCCACATGCAGAGTACGACAAAATCCTCGAAATCAACACAAAGGGAATCATGATCTGTATGCAGGAAGAGATTACCGCAATGCAGAAGCAAAACCCCGTTTGCACTCCCGGAATTGCCAATAAGCGTCGAGCACAAAGAGGAAGCATCATCAACATTGCCTCCATTACTGGTGTTGCGGCTTTACAGAACATGATGCCGTACAATGTTTCCAAGCATGCTGTTATAGGCTTAACCAAATCGGCAGCCGTCGATCATGCTGTTCAGAACATCCGTGTGAATGCCATCTGTCCGGGTATGACTGAGACTCCTATGGTCGCGGCTCGGCGCTCCAATTCCTCGCCACAAGTGCCTAAAGGTTGGGCTGTGGAGGGCAATGGAAGACAAAGACTTGCGATTCCTGACGAAATTGCTGACGTGTGCATATTTCTGAGTGGCTGTGGAGCCAGTTACATGACTGGGACGTCGGTTATTGTTGATGCAGGACATTTGGCAGCACTGCGCTATGAGCATCCCTCGCTTTGAATATGTCCGGCCTAAAGATTTCCATAAGAGATATGATGATTTATATGTGATACCTAGTGATATTGGAAATCGTGTACTAGTGAGGGGATGAGAATACAACTTCAAACAATATATTACAAGGTTGGAACGCTTCAGTTTTTCAATTCCCCACAACTGCGACCAACATGGCATGCGTTCCAATGTCGCTGCTGAACACGCCAGGGAAAGATCAAGTGACCATCTGGCTGAGACTTTGTCTCGAGTGCCACCACCTGCTCGATATGTTTCTCCTGGGGCTCTCTGAATTCAGAATTCTGTACCAATGCACTCTTCCATCTCAGAACAGAACAAGCTTTTATCTAGAGCAAGCTAGCATTACACCAAAGTGAATAAATTTATATAGGTGGTATTTCTACCTCGACAAAAGACTATTTGTCACTGGGAACTGGGACGTAATTTGAACATTCGTGACTGGCACATGCTTAGGTCTCTGCATTTCTTGACATTGATATACCTAGTAGGCAATTACCATCTTTGGGTATCCGATTCTAGGTATGAATTCAATTTGGGAAGAAGATCTTCGCTTATTTTAGGGACTTATGTGTAAGAATACCAATAGTATAAGTCACTGGATTGGTGCTATTATATCGCTATCAACTCTTTGTAAGCCCTTGGAGGCCTCATTCTGACTTGCAGGTATATCTTTCATTTCCTGCATTTCCTGCATTGATAATGCCCTCAAGTTCTGCATATGATCATCTGACTCAGTCGCATAGCGGCACCGCTGGCGCACTGTGGCCCCATATCTGTAGAAAAGAAATGGAAATGGAGCGAAGAGCAAAGACAGGAATGCAGGGATAGATGGTGCCCAGTGTATCCCGAGTCTATCATACATATATGCCGTGATGACAGGAAAGATCGCCCCGAATATTGACCGCAAAACAGCATTTGCCGCAAGTACGGAAGCAGCGTAAATTGTGTAAGAATCGATGAGATAGTTCATAATCCCGAGATAAATCAGAATCACACCAAGTCCGAATGGGGCAGTAGTGAATATACTAACTGACCAATGGATGGAAGGGTAGTTGGTCCACGCAAAGCAGAATTGACTGATAGGAATAATCAATGCTCCAGGCATACACTGAAGAAGGCGTACTTCTGGAGAGGCATAACCATTATTTTGGTCTTGGATTTTCATATAATGGAAGCTTGCAGGGATCGTGCAGATGATGCCGATTATCATCCCAACCATTATTCCTAGGAATGCTAAGCCTCCTATGCCTGGATTCCATCCACGTATCTCTTGGAAAACAATAGGAAAGGCGGCGAAGAGCATATATAATGTTCCATATACAATAGCTGTATAAATCGAGGAAATCAATACGGCAGGTTCTTTCAGTAGTAGCACAAGTGGTCTGGCTAGAGTTTTCCAAACCAGTTCCCTTGTCGATTCCTTTTTTTTTTCGTAGGCCAATTTGACTTCGATATATTCTCCCAGAGATCAGAGAAAGCCTTTCAGAACGTTTGACCAGAAGGAAGGGTGTATATGTCTCAGGGATAAAGAGTGTTGTTAAACCCCAAATAAACAGACAGGTAGCAGCGAGGAAACCCTGGACCCATCTCCACCCTACTCTCATGCCAAGGAATCCACCAATTATCGGACCTAGGGATGGTCCAAGAAATGGGGCCGCTGCATATAAGGTTAATGCAAGACTGCGTTTCCTTGCATTGAATAAATCCGAGATGGTTCCCCCAGCGTTACTCAGAGGTGCCGAGCCGAAAGCCCCTGCAAAAAAGCGAAGAATACATAGTGACGTAATATTTGGCGATGCAGCGCTGCCGGCAAGAAATGAAGCCAGACCAAACAGGCTGATAAAGAAAGTAATCTGGCGCCCAGCTATCTCGCTGAAAGGGGCCCAGAGCAATGGCCCAATTGCAAAGCCTAGAACATATAGGGATAACCCAAGAGTCGCCACCTGGGAGGAAACATGAAATTCGGCAATTATTTCGTCAACAGTACCACTGTAGGCCGATGAAGCCAAAGATACAATCAAGCTTGATGATGCGGAAAGAAGTGTGATGGATATCTTTCTCACGGAGCTGAATGAATGGGGATCACGACTATCGTCCGGGATCCAGGTAACGATGAAAGGATCATCATCGGTGCCAGATCCCGGAAACTGGTAATTGAGAACTTCTTGGGTAATTGCACCATGGTCAAATAGCAAATGCCATGTCGGGATTGTCAGAGAGTGAACTTGGAGGCTTCCAGCGGTTCTTGGCATTTTCATAGTGGGATCAGTGCTGAGTGGGGTGGATGCCAGCAAGGAAATTATTAGCGACCATTCAGACTGAAACTAGCATGCAGATTTTCCAGTCTCCTTAATGAACCTTGGTGAACATCAACTGAGAAACTTACTTTCGTTGCAATTGGAGGTAAATCATTCCGCGGAATTGTGTTGTACTTGGTGGGATTCAGCGGGCGGAATGAAGTCAACGGAGCACCGAACTAGCCGAAATTTTAAATTTGGGGGGCGAACGTGATGGTTACCGTCAGGAACACGCAGGAACACTACCGGATAATGTCTCTGGCATAAGGTAGTATGGACCTCGGGAGTAGTAATTCCGAATGAGGGAGAAAGAAAATTCTCTAAAGTGATTCTTACGAGGCCGATATATCCAGCAGAGGTCTTTAAGTTGACGCTGGAAGTCCAAATTTCCATTTTGCATTAGTGAATTTATTTGTCTACCTGGAACAAGATCCCATTTCATCATGGCCGGACAAGCTCGAAAGAATGCGCTTAAATATTTTGAAAAATGTTTATCGCCTGATGTGAAAAAGGGAGAAGCAACAGAGCGCTATAATGGCATAGACGACGTCGCCTACGCAATTTCGAGATTACCTTTGGGTTCTCCTCGCGAACTGAAAGTCATCTGCGTCGGTGCGGGCTTCAGTGGATTGGCATTTGCACGAGAAGTTGAACTGGGAAATCTGCCTAATGTGAATCTCACAGTATACGAAAAGAATGCGTCGGTCGGAGGAACATGGTATGAGAATCGCTATCCTGGGTATTTCTTTCTACTCTCCACTAAAGTATCGAGCACCTGGGCATACCGGCTAATATAAATCCATGAAGATGCGCGTATGAGAATTCTGTTCCTCTAATAGCCAAAAGAGAATATTAATTGATATAACAGCTGCGATATTCCTGTTCATAATTACCAGGTAAGAATTGGAGCTTTATTAAGATTGTGCGTTCTCTAATTCAAGGAATCTAGTACTCTTGGGCCCCTTGCCCCTACTTCAAAAGCTACTATGCTACCGGGAAGGATATCCACAAGTATATCGAAGCTGTCGCCGATCAACACCATCTCCGTAGATACGTCAAAGTGTCCCACAAAGTCATTGCGGCAACATGGGTCGAAGAAAGTCAAAAGTGGCAAGTAAGAATTGTCGTGACTGACGGGAGAGAACTGATGGTTAGCAACCGAGTTGACAAGAGCGGAGAATATGGAGAGCCGTTTATCGAAGAGTGCGATGTCTTGATAAATGCTGGAGGCTGCTTCAATGATTGGAAGTGGCCGAGTATTCCTGGAGAGAGAGCTTCAAAGGCCAGATGATCCATTCAGCTGCTTGGCCCAAGGGTACCGATCTGAAAGGAAAAACCGTGGCATTGATCGGAAATGGTAGTACGGGAGTCCAAATTCTACCCAACATCCTTGCCGACGTGGAAAGGGTCTATGTCTATATTCGCAGTAAGACATGGGTAACGGCTAGCTTCGCACAAAGGTTTGCTGGGGCAAACGGCGCGAATATTAACTTTTCAGAGGAGCAAAAGGAGCATTGGGCCAAACACCCAGACGAATACCTGCAGTATCGAAAAGAGGTGGAGCAAGAGCTGAATTCGCGGTTCCGCCTGTATCTTAAGGATTCGGATGCCCAAAAAGAAGCTCTTGGTTACTCCATCTCTCAGATGCAAGAGAAACTTTCTGCTAAGCCCGAAATTGGTAGACGTCTTATTCCAGAATTTGCAGTTGGGTTAGTTGGGTCTTGCATTTTTGCATGTTTTGCAACGGAATACTTCAAGCTGACAATATGGCCATACAGTTGTCGTCGCACTACACCGGGAAATGGCTATCTCGAGGCCCTTTGTTCGCCTAAGGTCGAAATTATCTGGGGAGGAATCGAATCCTTTAATGAGGCCGGTCTGCTGGCAGATAACGGTGAAGAGCGGTCTGTCGATACTATTATCTGCGCTACAGGCTTCAATATGTCTTTCTCCCCTCGGTATCCCATCATCGGTCGCAATAACATTAATCTGCAAGAAAAGTGGGATGACAACCCAGAATGCTATCTTTCAGTTACAACTGCCAATATGCCAAACTACTTCACATATCTTGGCCCAGGCAGTCCGCTTGGGCATGGTAGTGTGGTCAGCTCTTTAGAACGCGTGACGGAGTATATCGTCAAGTTCGTCCGCAAGCTTCAAACCGAAAACTACAGCTCTGTTGTACCGAAAGCGCATATTCCTCGTGCATACCAAAAGCAGGCTCTGGCGTGGCTTGATAAGACTGCATGGAACTCTAATTGCGCATCCACCTACAAAAATGGAAAACCAGACGGTCCTTTGATCTCTCTCCATCCCGGTTCGAGATTGCATTATTTCCAGCTTCTGAGTAATCCACGCTGGGAGGACTTTGAATGGACTAGTCTTTGTGGCGATGAGGATCTGGCATTTGCTTGGCTTGGAAATGGATTTATCGTGGAGGAGTGCAAGGAAACAACCGACAAGGATCTGACGTGAGCGTTTAACAATGCCCTGTCCTATGGATTTACGATTGCTAATTTCGAATGCTGTAAAGCTGGTTCTTAGCTCCTGTTGAGAAAGACAAGATGATTAAAGCAACATTTTGAAACTCCTCAGCGCCTACAGGCTATATCTTTTGTTTTCGGATCGCAATGTGACTAGCTATTGAATAGTGAAAATGTGTTAAGACGTATGAACGCAGGAGAAATTGAAAGGAACGTGGAGTGTCAATGAAGACTATAATGCTAGAGATGGGAAAGACAAATAAAGGTATACTGTTTGCGATGGTTACAGTATGATGCGTATATCCAAGTCTCCTGACATAAATCTCCAAATCGTGATACTGTTACAATGAAAAGAGTAAAGTACTCGACTTTTGTGGCATAGTTCGAAATACGTGGGACTGGGAGAATGAAACAACATGTTAGATAAAGGGGAAGTATCAGAAAGCGCAATGGGGAAGGCAAGGCTAATAATGAATTCTCGAGCAAATTGAGGACTTCCTTGATCTGTGCTGAGTAACGACTCGATATGAGAGAAGATGGTTATTCTAGGGCACTGCATTTGCTGCCAAGAAGGAGGGGGGGGGGGGGCTGGTCGTAATTTTCTTTTCATAATAACTAGGCCGGAGAAAGGGATACGAGCAGGGATATGAACCTAATTACGGGTTGGTATACGGCAGTTGAATTTCGAATATCACATGTTATGACTGCGTTTTATCCCTGTAAAATAACTGATTGGCCTCACTAGATGAGAAAGTCAGGAAGATTAGTTTTTAGGACTGAAGCATCTGCCGCAACGTCTCTCCGATCTCTACCTGCTCTAACGTTGGAATTTACTTGGCAAGCCCTATTTATCATGACTGGTGCTCTGGACAGGGAGTTGCAGTAAGATCGCTTGAAATGCCCTAGCTCGTAAGTAAAATCCTGGGGTTGAACCTTAATTAACTCAACCCCACACTGTTCCGAGACGTTTGCAGGTTCCGCGGAAAGCTTGCAAGCCACAAATGCGGGGATAGCTGATCGATCTGCCAAACTATTCGTGTTCTTTGTTTCAGCCAGGCTGATTCTCGGAAAGATGTTATCAGAAAGGGGTGGATGACAAGATCAAGAGTCTTTGGGGCAGCTTTGCAATGATGTTTTTAATAGTTGAGCTTGGGCTCTCGGAGGAGATTAAATAGCTCGACAATCATTATCGACAGATAAAAACAGTCATGGATACCACACAGGGCGAGCATCTTAAGGCAAGGGAGACGGAACGAAGTATAGATGATCAATTCAACAAAAACCAACATGTCAATCTCTACACTGTTGCTGTGCTCTTCTTCGTCGCGCTTAGCTCTGCCGCTTATGGGTATGCAGGATCCATAATTGCGACAACCCTCACACAACCATCCTTTACCACGCATATGAAACTCGAGACAGCTTCAAATGCCGAGGCCATTACCGGTGCAATGAATGCTTTGTACTATACAGGCGGTGTTTTCGGAAGCTTTTTTGCGGGTTGGAGCAGCAGGAAGTTTGGGCGCAAATTTTCAACCGGGTTTGGAAATTCGTTGCTCGTGATTTCAGGAGCATTGATGACAGCAGCTGTTAATCCCAGTATGTTCATTGCTTTTCGCTTTTTAAGTGGATTTGGGTACGTATAATATTTCTCAAATAACTATTTGCCACAGTGAATAATGACTTTCAACCTTAGGTCAATGGTTATTATTGCAACGGTTCCTGTCTGGATTGCCGAGCTATCCCCACCACGTATTCGCGGCCTACTGGGCGATATACATGCCGTTATGATGATGGTAGGTTATACGCTGGCCTGCTACGTGGGTCTTGGCTTTTACTTTGTTGAGGGCCGCAACCAATGGCGCGGACCTATCGCACTTCAAATGGCACTTCCAGTGATCATCTTAGCTGGTCTTTATTGGATGCCTGAGTCGCCTCGATTCTTGTTGTCTAAAGACCGTAGCGAGGAAGCCCGACAAATTTTACTGCGTATGCACTCTGGTTCCAATGATCCTGATCACGAGTTTGCTCGACGAGAGTTTTTCCAGATCAAAAAGCAAATTCGACTCGACGCTCAATTCGAAACATCTTACTGGAGCATTATCAAAAAGTCTTCGATGCGAAAGAGGTTGGCAATGACCGTTTTTCTGGAGTTTGCCCTCATGAGCTCGGGCGTTTTGGTTATTCTTAGTGAGTCAGGTGCTTTCAGGCATTGAATAATCTTTACTACTGTGCCTTTCCAAAATGCCTCCGCGCTAATACTTTTCAAGATTACGGGTCTATAATTTGGAAGTCGCTCGGCTTTGACACTGTTCAAATCCTCAACTTCCAGTGCGGCTTCCAGTTGACTGGCTTTGTTTTCAATGTTGTTGCAATGGCTTTTGTTGAACGTGTTCGTCGCCACTGGCTTATTGCGTCTGGCCTTTTCGGCTGTGGTACCCTGGTCGGCATTCTAGCCGCTTTGCAACGTTTCTATCTAGGAGGTACCGATAACACTGGACTAGGGGCATGCGTCGCTATTATCTTCCTTTTCCAAGCTACATTCTCGCTCACTGTAGATGGTGCGACATATTTCTATATCGCTGAGATCTGGCCATCACACGTTCGGTCCCAGGGACTCGCCATTGCTATGGCCACTTTATCTGCTACCAACCTAATGTGGCTACAAGCCACACCATCTGCTATGAGTAAGATATCTTGGCGTTGGTATCTCATATTTTGCTGTATTCCGGTTTCTGCGGCGGTGGTGGTTATTTTGTGGTTCAAGGATACCCGCAACAAGCCACTGGAGGAAATCGCAGCGATTTTCGGTGATGAGGATATGGTTGCTGTATACCAGCGAGAGCTGAACATTGGAGCTTTGAGAGAAAGGAATGATGATGACAGTGGTAAGACACGTCTGACTGAGGCAATGGTTGAGACCGTTGAAGAAGTCTGAACAGGAAAGGGTGCTTGGAGGTTTCGAGGTTTAGGGGGGTATTTGTAAAAATGCGTCAGCCTTAAACAGTTGCTCTCGAGACTTGTGGTATCTGATTGATATTAGGCCATACCAAATTATAACCCACTTACGAATTCAGAGAATTCCTTTCTGTCGATTGAACGGCCATAGCTCTTCGAAAAGGAAAATCAAACCTCGAGATGACAGCATTGATCTGCAACCCTTTTTTTTCACTTCGAAGATATTACAATGCAGATTCTCAATCAAGTAAATCCATAATAACAATTTAAAATACCAACTATGGGTCTCCTTCAAGTCTAAATACGAGACATGGGACCGGGTCTGAGTCGTTCCAACTGCGCTGGCCAAGCGACATCAACCTCAAGCTCAGAAGCAACCTTCAAAACCCAATCTGGCTCTTTGAGGAATTGCCGGCCAACAGATATTATATCAACTCCGGGTCCTCCATTCCCATCACTCTCAACCAGGTCTCGAGCCTGTCGGGCTTCAGTAATCAACCCAACAGTTCCAATCAGAATCGTGTTTCCTTCGGCCTGCAGAATTTTCTTTATTCTCAGCGCCATGGCGGTATGATGAGGGCCAGCATCGAACACATTGAATTTTGCTTGATGATGATTGCCTCCTGAGCTTATATCGACGAGGTCAACACCCAAACTTGGCAAAATCCCGATTAACTTGATAGTCGACTCCTCTGTCCAGCTTCCAAACTTTTTTCCAGCATCCGTTTCTTCCGTCCAATCGGTGCCGTTGACCCTGACAAATACTGGCATGCTTGTTGGTATCACGGCACGAACGGCAGCAATAACTTCAAGAAGCAGACGAATCCGATTATCAAAGCTCCCACCATACCTATCTTTCCGGCGATTCGTGACGGGATTGAGGAATTGATTGATAAGATAACCGTGGGCGGCATGGATCTCAATGATATCCACGCCGGCGTTCACAGCTCTTTGGGCTGAATTTGCATAATTTGACACTAGGTTTCCAATCTCTGACTCAGTAATTTCCCGAGGTACGTGGTAACCCCCTGATGGGTCGAGTCCTTTACCATCCCATGAATGTTTTACACCACCCGAAGGTCCTAGAACGTCATCCGGCCAACCGCCTTCTTCTTTTGATGCCCTTGCACTTGACTTCCCTAGCTGCTGGGCAACCAGTGGAGGCTGTGTACTCGACTTTCTTCCGGCATGAGATAATTGAACGCCGCAAAGACCACCTTGGGAATGAATAAAATCGACTATTGATTTCAGGCCATGCTCCTGAGCATCATTCCAAAGGCCAGGACAGTGAGGAGTAATGCGACCGTTTGGCTGGACGCCTGTGGCCTCAATAATGGCTAGCGCAGCACCCTTGAAAACGTTGTGGCCGATCGTGGTAATGTACAGAGGGGTCATGACGCCAGCCAGAGGCCCTGAAGATGTGATAGAGTACATGCACATTGGAGAAACACATATCCGGTTCCTAAGTGTGACTGAGCGGATACTCAGTGGCCGGAATAGCTCGGGGGTATTATTGTCTATCTTCAACGGCGTGCCAGCGGTGATTTGGCGCGGCGAATGGTTGGAAATGAGAGCCTTCGAATTTCGGGTCATCATGAGGCTCTAGCAAAGATACTAGTAGTCAGAAGTTATATGTTGAAATGAAATTTCCAAAGCATACTCTACCTGCGCTTTGTGGGTCCTTCGTGCTATATGAGATTCCAGATCACGGAACAAATCTAATTTCTAGGCAACGCATTTCCGGTCTTCTCGCCGACCCAGTTCATATCATAGACCAAAGTCCGAGCTCGCTCAGTTAGACTGTAGGAATCAATCACATGTCGCCAAATAGTGGGAAAGTCTGGTAAGCCCCGGAAAGGCGAACATTCGTGATGCCGGAATCTTGTTTTGGTTCCGCGGAATCCCCAGCGCACTGACCGTTACTGCTGGCAAATCAGACCCACGCCTCATAGTAGCTGGCTCAAAGCTTATATTGTAAAATAGTATAAGATTTTTCTCGTGGCTTCCATATTCATACATTTCATTTTTAGCTCGTTCATCTACCGAGATAGTCATAAAAATGACGGTGCTTGATCTGCAAGGTAAAAAGGCACTCATTACGGGCGGGGGATCAGGTACAAACTCTTCAATTCTACTCTCCGGAATATCTATTGAGAAATATCGATAGGAATCTGCCTAGCCTTTGCGAAGAAATTATACGAAAATGGATGCTCTGTCTTATTGGCGGATCTTACTCTCCACGCCTCGGCGAAAGAATGGTTACAGACCATCCAAAACCAGTCTTTCCCAAAAGTTCGATTCCGCAAAACTGATGTCAGTGACTGGAAGCAACTGGAATTGGCATTCGATATTTTCGAGAATGAATTTGGAGAGGCGCCTGATATTGTAGTGCCAGGAGCTGGGGTCTACGAACCTTCGTCAAACGGTTTCTGGGGGGGATTCGGACGATGCTTCGCATTATAAACTTTTTGATATCAATATCTTGCACCCTATCAAAATTTCAAGAATTGCCATCAAAAGAATGCGTCGTGACCAGAAGGCAGGGGTGGTCGTCCATATCTCCAGCATTACGGCTCAAATTCCTAGCGTGGTCAACCCGCTTTATTCGGTCTCGAAGCAGGCAATCAGTCAGTTTGTGAGATGTATGGCACCATTGGATAATCTCGCCGATATCAGAATCGTTGCTGTTGCCCCCGGGTAAGAAATATCCACAGAATCCCTCGCTTTCACAACTTTATTAATGCTGCTTTGGATTAGGGTCGTCGATACTCCCCTGTTCCGGGACAGCTCTAAAGCTCGTGAGCACATAGATCTGGAAAATGATTTTGTTCTTCCGCCAGAAGAGATTGTGAAAGCTATGGTTTCCTTGGTAACAACCTCGGAATATGCATCGGGCTCGATTCTTGAGGTTGGAGACATTGGTGGGTGGCGAGAGGTTGGTTTACTCAATGACCCTGGCCCTCAGGGTCGATCAACTCTGCGAAGGCCCAAGGCCAAGAGTGCGATTAAGCTTGTTGAGCAGGCATTGGCAGATGATGCTAAGCGAGTGAGAGCGTCGAAGTTGTAATTATTCTTAGGGAGCCGAAGAAGACATATCTAGAAGCTACCAAGTTTGCAAGTAGCAGCGACGGTGTAAAGGCCGGTTGAAGTTGAGCATGCCCGGGGACGTGTATAGACTCGGAAATTTCCATATCTCGTTAACGCTTGTTTTCCAATTGGCATTACCTAGGTCCTTACTCATTAATTATATGTCTTAATAAAATATTAAATGTATGATCAATACACCTCCATGCAGCCTTAAAAAGAAGAAAAACGGCTGAATCCATGGTCTCAGTCTAACTAGAGTATTGATATTATTGCTATAATATGACGTCATTTTTAAGTGGCCCAAGAGCGCGGCTAAATAAACGAAAAAGAAACCAGTACGCAATATGTGAGGTATTACTATCGAAGGTCGCCTTTTTTCCTTTGGGAAATTTTGGACCTACGATCACTACCGAATATTCCGGCCCCTCTTCCCTCCTCGATAGCATTCCAGGATCGGCATTGTTGTGCCGACAGCCCAGAAGGATGTGCCGATTTGCCTTGTCTCCACCCAGACGGACGGGGCGGAAAAATCGGCTTCTCGACCAGGAGAGCGCGAATAGGAATCAACAATTCGGTCTAGACCTTATGATTCACAGTAGGTCTCGAATATGCTTTAAAGAGTAAAGCCGTCAATAAAATAGTGAAACTAATGAATGACCAATACTATATACTACTAGTAGTAGTTCGGCAATGCTCTTTGGATCGCCCATTCAAGTTTTCTTTGACATCCCTCTGAATCGTGACATATTAAATTGCCTCAACTAGCAGCAGCTTGCTTGAGAACCTCGATTTTTTTTTTCGTCCTTCTGACATCTGGAATTTTTCAAATATCTACCAGTGCCCCTATCTATCTCGAATACGAACACTGTCACAACACAAAAAATGTCCGATACTTCACAACACGAAGTGGGGCGGAAACGCGTGTGCAAAGCATGTGATCGTTGTCGCCTGAAGAAGTCCAAGGTAAGCCTGAGATGATAAGATCCATGCCGACCCATAATTTGGATATTGACGACCAAAGTGCGACGGTCACGACCCATGTTTGCGTTGTCAGGCCGATAATGCTGTCTGTATATTTGGACAACGAAAAAAGGTCCATGAGAAATCATATCCCAAAGGGTGAGTAAGGTATAGTCGCAATGGAGAGTAGAAGAGAAATGGTCAGCTAACAAATTGACATACGCAGGTATGCAGAGATGTTAGAACAGCAACAGGGTTGGCTCGTAAATGCCCTACAAGAACTCTATCACCGGGCTGTTCATGGACAGGGATGGCCCGGAGAACCTCTAAATCTTGAGCCTAATGGCTTTCCTCTTACCCAAGATATGCTTGTGCGCCTCGGGGCTCTGAATAATGGGGCTAGGATGCCTGAGAGACAAGGCAATACTGAATTACATCAGGAGCCAGAAAACAGCTTCAGACAGACTCCTTTAGGCACTCCATCCATTGGATCATGCGTCCGCTCTGCTCAACAGGCAATGCCTCTCACACCAACAACATCAAGCGAAAGCCCCTCAGATATCAAAATTTACCCTCCCGAGGCCATGCTAAGAAATTCTCATTTTGAGCCGCAAAGAGGAGGTATCTCTGAGCCATGGGGATTTCTGGATCCACAACAGTGGGATGAAGACTTCGGATTGTTTGATGATATGGAAATGATGATAGCAGCCAAAGATTCGAATTTCGTCTTTGATGATGCATCATTCTACGAAAACCTGGATCTGTTCACAGACCAGAATGCCGCAGGCATCAATTTGATCTAAGCGTTAGATATCAATCGGCGTTGTTAGATTCTAAGCCGCCGGTACTTTGATGATGTTATATTCTTTTAAGATAGTGCACGAGTCTACTACAAACTTTGGGCATTTTTTTATTTTTGTTTCATTGAATATTCCAACACGCTGACGGTGACGTACGTAGGGAAAGTGCAAAATTGTAAAACGTAGCCCTTACCTCCCCACAATAAGGGGAAACCCGGCATGCAAGTTGCGAGATGGTTGAAACGTAACTTTCCTTGAGAGCAATAAATCTTCACCATTGAATATTTCTTGTACCCCACTGCATGAAAACTTGAATGCTAGGTAGAACGGCTTGAGATAAGGCCTCCGCGATATGTTCTTCCAGATTATTTCCCAAGCCGGCAGTATGATCGATTGACATAGCCTCGGAACCGAGGATACCAGATAGCAATCACGACAACATGCCGAGGTTTGGAGCATTTGGTTGAAACACTACCTAAACGGGCGAGCGTAAGCATAATAAGAATACCTGATAAACACGACCCGCATCGGATATATCTGAAGTAAATCCCGCACTATTCGGGCAACTGCCTTATCTTATTCGACCCAATCGGGTAATATGCTGCGTCGATTTGGCTGACAGCTGGGTGACCACCGGGTAGATCGGGATCGACAAAGTGCCGCCGAGAGTTACCATGGGGCCGACTATTCGGCGCCGATTCCGTGCCGCTATTCCCGCGTCCCTGAAAATCGAATCTGCCAATCGGCACGCAGACTAAAACCTCGGATCAACAAGTGAAGCTCGCTATTGGCCAGAAACATACAACGAGAGATTTCACAATAAAATTGTGCGCGAGTAGTTGAAATTTAATTGGGTACTGGCTCTACTTGTGTTCATAAATCTATTGATAGCGAGTGGAAGCCATGGTATAATGGCAGCCAGCCGGAATACTATTAATCCATAAGGATAGATTGCTTGGATAAGGGACCGATTCTCCATCATACCCACCAAGGCAATAGTGAAACGATAATACGTATGTTCTCTGTATTCTCTGGTTTGCTCCACCATAGAGATGTTCTAGAAGGTGAAGACGCAACCAGATTCCGGCTTCCGGCAAGATTTAAAATCATATAAATCGAAAAAATCCCCAACGTAATGAACGATTTAATCGCATTATTTTCTAACCAGCTATACCTAAGATCATATTACGGTGCTGGAAAGGAATCTTAAAATGTCATCCGAGCAAGATTCCCATCCAGCCGGATGGGAAAACCACGAAACCCTCTCTGTGCCTCAAATCAACCTGCACGAGGCTAGCAGCTCCGAAACTCTTCACACAACCGAGCCTTCTCCGAACCTTGCTACTGATAAGCCGCAAGGTGAGGAATATTGGAAGAGCCATGAGACTCTGGCACTGCCTCAAACTCCCACTACACCTGCCCCCGCCAAGAACAAGGAATGGCATATGACACACCGAGTGGTTCGAAACGCCCAACGTGACGAAGCAGCTGGATTCAAACGTCGAGAGCTTGGTGTTACTTGGCAGAACCTATCCGTTGAGGTACTCGCTGCTGAAGCTGCCGTCAAGGAGAATATGCTTTCCCAATTCAATGTTCCTCAGCTCATCAAAGACTTCCGCCGGAAACCACCACTCAAATCGATCTTATCCGACAGCCATGGATGTGTTAAGCCTGGTGAAATGCTTCTCGTACTTGGCCGCCCCGGCTCAGGATGTACGACGCTTCTTAAGATGCTTGCCAACCGCCGTGAAGGATATCACACTATCAAAGGGGATGTGCGATTTGGAAATATGTCATCAGAAGAAGCACTCAACTACCACGGCCAAATTGTCATGAACACAGAGGAAGAACTCTTTTACCCCCGCTTGACTGTTGGCCAGACTATGGATTTTGCCACACGCTTGAAGGTCCCCTTTCATTTACCAGAGGGAGCCAAGAAAGAAGATTATAATGCCGACTCCATGGAGTTTCTTTTGGAATCCATGGGAATTTCCCATACCGCCGATACTAAAGTGGGCAACGAATTTGTCCGTGGAGTATCAGGTGGCGAAAGAAAGCGAGTTTCGATTATTGAGTGCCTGGCAACAAATGCCTCTGTTTACTCTTGGGATAATAGCACACGCGGTCTCGATGCCAGTACCGCCCTGGAGTGGGCAAAGGCTCTTCGTGCTATGACTGACGTGCTGGGTCTTTCTACCATCGTCACTCTCTACCAAGCAGGAAACGCAATTTATAATTTGTTCGACAAGGTGCTCGTGTTGGACGAAGGAAAGCAGATATACTATGGACCTGCGGCGGGAGCAAAGCCATTCATGGAAGATCTGGGTCTAATGTATACCGATGGAGCGAATATTGGTATGACTGTCCGGTGTTTGTGAAGGAATTCATGCTAACATATTATTCAGGGGATTTCCTCACTGGTGTCACTGTCCCGACCGAGCGAAAAGTGAAACCAGGCTGGGAAAATCGATTTCCTCGTTCAGCAGATGCTATCCTGACGGAGTACAAAAATTCAGCGACATATAAGAATGAGATCTCTGCATACGACTATCCCGACAGTGAGATTGCAGTTCAGCGCACAGAAGCATTCAAAGAGTCTGTCGCTTGGGAAAAGTCCAATCATTTACCCAAAGGCAGTAAACTCACCACCAGCTTTTGGGCTCAACTCATCCATTGCACTCGACGACAATACCAGATTCTGTGGGGTGAAAAGTCAACTTTTCTCATCAAGCAGATTCTGTCTTGCGTCATGGCATTGATCGCCGGATCATGTTTTTACAATTCTCCAGAAACTTCGGCTGGTCTCTTCACCAAAGGAGGAGCTATCTTTTTCTCGCTATTATACAACTGCATCGTCGCCATGTCTGAGGTCACCGAATCCTTCAAAGGTCGACCGATTCTCATCAAGCACAAGGGGTTCGCGATGCATCATCCAGCTGCATTTTGTTTGGCCCAGATTACCGCCGACGTTCCAGTGCTATTGTTTCAGTGCACTATCTTCTCGGTGGTAATTTATTGGATGGTTGGGCTGAAGCACACCGCGGCTGCATTTTTTACTTTCTGGGCTATCCTCTTCACGACAACCCTGGTAAGCATTCATATTTCCTCCCGAGGTCCCAAATATGTATTTATTTGAGTTCCGAAGCTAATGGTAAATACTCAGTGCATTACTGCCTTGTTCAGATGCATCGGTGCCGCATTTAGTACATTTGAAGCCGCTTCGAAGATCTCCGGAACAGCAGTCAAGGCTATCGTCATGTATGCCGGTTACATGATTCCAAAGCCGAAGATCAAGAACTGGTTTGTCGAACTGTACTACACCAATCCTTTTGCCTATGCATTCCAAGCCGCCATGTCGAACGAATTTCATGACCGCCATATTGATTGTGTTGGTCAAAATTTGATCCCCAGTGGTCCCGGTTACGAGGATATCGGATCGGGAAACAGGGCTTGCACAGGTGTGAACGGTGCCACTCAAGGCGCTGACTTCGTGACTGGCGACCAATATCTCGGATCTCTCCATTATCACGCCTCGCAGATGTGGCGGAACTTTGGTGTTCTCTGGGGTTGGTGGGGGTTCTTCGCCGTCCTGACTGTCTTGTTTACCTGCTTCTGGAAGGGAGGTGCCAGTTCTGGATCTTCTCTTCTCATCCCCCGCGAGAGTCTGAAAAAACATCAGACACACAACGATGAGGAGGCACAAGGCACTGAAAAGACCACCCCCCGCACAACCACCGATGAGCCCGTCGAAGTCGAAGATGAGAATCTGGTTCGAAACACGTCGATCTTCACTTGGAGAAACCTCACTTATACCGTCAAAACACCCACTGGTGACCGCGTGCTGCTGGACAATATCAATGGTTGGGTGAAGCCAGGCATGCTCGGCGCTCTGATGGGCTCTTCGGGCGCAGGCAAAACAACGCTTCTCGACGTGCTTGCCCAACGCAAGACAGAAGGCACAATCAAGGGCTCGATTCTTGTCGATGGCAGACCTTTACCGGTATCATTTCAGCGAATGGCAGGGTATTGCGAGCAGTTGGACGTCCACGAACCATATGCGACCGTGAGAGAGGCCTTGCAATTTTCCGCCCTATTACGCCAATCCCGCGACACCCCGAAGGAGGAAAAGCTTCGATACGTGGAAACTATTATTGATCTCCTTGAACTCCATGATCTTGCTGATACCCTGATCGGTAGCATTGGCAATGGACTGAGTGTCGAACAAAGAAAGCGTGTCACCATTGGAGTGGAATTGGTCTCAAAGCCCAGCATTCTGATCTTTTTAGACGAGCCAACCTCTGGATTAGACGGTCAATCGGCTTACAATACAGTTCGCTTCCTTAGAAAGCTCGCCGATGTTGGCCAAGCTGTTCTTGTTACTATCCACCAACCTTCGGCACAACTTTTCGCCCAGTTCGACACCCTGCTTCTCCTTGCGCGCGGCGGAAAAACGGTCTACTTTGGAGATATTGGTGACAACGCGGCCACGATCAAGCATTATTTCGGCCAGTATGGTGCCGAGTGTCCTACAGAAGCCAACCCAGCTGAGTTCATGATCGACGTGGTTACTGGTGGCATTGAAGCCGTCAAGGACAAGGACTGGCATCAGATCTGGCTTGACTCTCCCGAGCAAAACGCCATGATCACAGAACTGGATAGAATGGTCGATGACGCCGCAAGCAAAGCACCTGGAACAGTATCCGATGGCTATGAGTTCTCCATGCCTTTATGGGAACAAGTCAAGATTGTCACCCGTCGTATGAACGTCGCACTCTTCCGAAACACGAACTACGTGAACAATAAATTCTCCCTGCACATCATTTCCGCCCTCTTGAACGGTTTCTCATTCTGGCGACCGGGCCCTAGCGTGACAGCCCTGAATTTGAAGATGTTCACAATCTTTAATTTCGTCTTCGTCGCGCCCGGTGTTATTAATCAGCTTCAACCACTCTTCATCCAACGCCGAGATATATACGATGCCCGCGAAAAGAAATCAAAGATGTACTCTTGGGTCGCATTCGTGACAGGTCTGATTGTATCGGAATTCCCTTATCTCTGCATCTGCGCCGTTCTCTACTTCGCCTGCTGGTATTATCCAGTCTGGAGACTTCCCCACGACTCCAACCGATCCGGCGCGACATTTTTCATGATGCTAATCTATGAGTTCATCTACACCGGTATCGGGCAATTCGTCGCAGCTTATGCACCAAACCCGACATTCGCGGCCCTCGTCAACCCTCTCATCATCAGTATCCTGGTTCTATTTTGCGGAGTTTTCGTCCCATACACCCAGCTCAATGTCTTCTGGAAGTACTGGATGTATTACCTCAACCCATTCAACTATGTCGTCTCCGGAATGTTGACCTTTGGCCTCTGGGGCGCGAAGGTTACCTGCAACGAAGAGGAATTCGCTGTCTTCGATCCCACGAATGGGACTTGTGCCGAATATTTGTCCGATTACATTGCGGGTGATGGCTGGAGGATCAACCTGATCAATCCGAATGCTACTGCCGCGTGCAAAGTGTGCGAGTACACGGATGGAAGTGATTTCTTGTCTACGTTGAACATTAATCACTACTACTATGGATGGAGAGATATCGGAATTTCGGTGATTTTTGCCATCAGCGGGTATGCCTTGTCTTCGGACTTATGAAGCTGAGGACAAAGGCATCTAAGAAGGCAGAGTGAGGTGGAAGTGCATTGGATTGGCGATATGCAAAGTACCAGGAGCGTCGCAGTGTGGCAAAGCGAAAAAGCTAGCATCGCTGACATATACCGAAGGACGGGGAGAGAGGGGAGGGATACAGCTTGAAATAATTCGAATTCGCATATAAAGTACTAGGAGTTAATTTTGTTTTTTTTATCATGTTTTCAATTACCGCAGACAATGTCATCAAAAATATCACTCAATTAAAATCTTGGACTATCACCAACCGCAAGCGGAAGGCTGCGACGGCCGGTAGAAGACCGGTGGAAGGCCGGCGTGGGATTTTGGTGTATGGAGGAACATGCAGCGCTTTCCTTGCTTGTCGATGTGGCAGCTTGCGTAGTCCAAAACTCCGGCATAATCGGCCATCGTGCACTCGTTGAATGGTCTCTCATTTCATCGAATCTGCACAGCCAGTTGTTGGGATTGAAGCAGGGAGAAAAAGTCTTATACTCGCAAAGTGATATTTGAAGAATGAGGACTGTAGATTGTCGAATATTCTAGGAAACTGAGGACGGGCATGGGGGAAAGGCTGAATGAGAGGGGAAAGGAAGGATCGATGCTGGGCCGACTTTGAGAAATAGAAAGAAGAATATAGAAACAACCATTGACCCAGAAATAGGCACCGTACAAGACGTTTGGGGGGGGGGGCTCTCGAGAAATATAAAAAATGTAGAAAAAAAACGACTGACCCAGAAATGGACACCGTGGGTGAAGCTTTGGGAGGGTCCAAGGCATACGATGATCCACGGCCTTACGTTGAAGAACAGGATTAAAAACAAACAAAACAATGCATGGAAACTATAGCTACGAAAATACTATGAAAAGCCGCCCATCAAATGGAATGAAAGGAAGAAAAGGATGCCATCCGCGAAGGCCTGTGCCGTGAAAATCTCGAAAACCCACCGCATTCAACTGAAGGAAGACAGGGAAAAGGAAAGGAACTGGAGAAGATCAACAAAAGCCTGCACCGCTGAATCTGCACGAAACCTTGCCGCTTGAAATGAGCTAAAAAGGAGAATAGGAGGAAAAGGCCAACGAAAGTTTGCGCGATACGATGTAACTCTTCACCCGCAGCTGGCTGCGGTGTCCGAACCGTAGAACCGTTTTTTTTCTTTTTTTTCTTCTTTGTGGAAACAAATTTGCTCCTTTGATACGTCGATAGAATAAGATGGGATGCGACGAAAGCATGGGAAGCGCGTCTTCAGTATGAAGTCATCCGGTCAAGCTAGCTGCGATCCGGAGAAGGGCTCTCGTCACGATGTTCTTCTCGCAGTTGACGGAGGCGGTCCTGGAAAACGGCATATCTCTCTCTCGCATCCTGGTGTTCCTGCCCAACATCGAGTTGTTCTTCCCCGTGCTGTGAGCATCTCTCTTCAGCTCGCTCGGCGGCCATCACCTCTTCGCGTTCCCACTCATGTTGAGCGCGGATCTCAGCCACGGTCGGCTCTCCCAGGGGAACTCTGTCACTGACAAGTGGCATAGGGTTGGGGGGCGAACTACTGGAGGCAGATTGGCGGTTTCCTACATTGCGGGCCAAATGCTAGTTAGCGTAAATGACCGACACCATATAACCGGAGAAAGGAGTTCTTACCTTGCCTGCATGCGGTGCATCCACCCGGAACCACGTCGCCGGTGGCCTGTATCATTCCTGCCTCAAGGCGGGTGATGGACGAATTGAAGAGGTCTTCCAGGTCCTGTGGCTGGTAGTTGTAACACTCCCGGAAAACCAGCTCACGTAAGACTGGGCGATGTAAGAGCTGCAATAAAGGGCCGGAGCCTTCATTTCTGTTTGCTAGGGCTCTGGCTTGCTTGACTCATAACCCGTCTTGCCCACCCGTCAGGCAGAGGATCGACATGGACATCACTGCCGGCAGTGAGCATGGGAGGCAAGTCGCCTTGCCTCGGCTGACCAATTCGCGGGCCGTTTGGACTACTCAGATTGTTAGTCAAGATCTCGCATGTGAAGTGAGAATAGAGGGGATGAAAGGAACGTACTTCGCTATTTGATGAGGTCTCTTTTCAGATTTCTGGATTGAAACTGAGAGATGGGGTTTCGTTACCTTCAAGAGAATGAGAGTTGGAATGAGACTTTGAGAGTCGGAGGGAGAACTGTCGAAGTCGGACTAACCTTTTCGTAGACGTGAAAGATGATTTATGATCAGTGCGACTGATCAGGACTCTCAGTTTGGCAGAGTAGCGATCGCTTCTGGTAAAGAAGAATGGGGAGGAGGATGAGGATGAGGACGAGAAGGAGGGGGAAAATGAAGAAGTGCCCACAGGTGGAAATGGTCCGTCGAGTTCCAACAGGCTGAAGAGGAGCCTTGGAGGGAGAGAGGAATAGAAGAGATAGTAGGCCTCAATGCCACTGGATGAAGTGTGTCGCTGCTGCCTCAGGCCCCAGCTTCAGAGTACTAGTTAGGTACTGCCAATATCTCCCAATGTTTGCCTGGGATACTACTAGTAGTACAGTTACGAGGAATCAAATCAGGAAGCTACGATGTAGGCATCTGCCAGTGATAGTCAATAGAGAATAGAATAGGCAGGAGCGACAACGCTGTAAACATTGTCCAAATCACTCGAAAACTCCCGTTCTTCCTTCTGTCCACCTCACTTCATATATATACTAATTTTCACTCTTCTTCAAGTTCTTCTCCGGAAGGATCACGCCCCTGTGGCTCCTGTTGGAACTGTTCGAATTCAACATGACTAGCACCAAGATGGCGGACTATCTGGAGCGAGATCAATCAAGAACGTCAAGATTTCGAGGCTCTGTTTCGTCATGGATACAGCAACATTGCTGTGAAGAGTGTTGGCTCTGTGCAGGGGTTGGAAGCACGGATCGTGATAATACCCGATATTCAATGTGGAAGCAGTACCACATGCTTTCTGGAATCTCTCACTTCGTGAACAATTAATTTTACTACGGTGCCTTATTTACCGTCCTTCACTCCGATGAGACTCGAGTTACTGCAAACTTTGTGATCGAGTTTGGATCGACAATCCCTGTTGCCCTCAACGATGTAACCTTTATTATTATTCGAAATCCACCACTTCGAAATTTCTTAGCTCCTGGTTTCAGCATATAATTTGCTTCCTTTGTTCAAACTCTGTGAATCCTAGCAGCTGCACTCAATTTTCCTCATCCCCCCCCCATAGTAGAAATAGATTTCAGCTCTGACGTTGGATGTTAACACTACTAATTATAATAAGAATATCAGCATTTCAATTCAGACCAGACCCTTGTCTCAACAACCTGGGCACTTACAATAATTCTTGAATGCGCCAAGTAATTAGAAGTGGACCGTGTCCAATGATAGGGCTCAATCTAGACAAGGTTTTCGACACCCCCAAAGTTGCTGCCTGCAATAATTCCCTCGGTCGCCTTTCGTTGGCTGGTTGTAAGACGATCTCTTTGAATTTTATGATAGGCTCAAATTGGTGATCCATAATCCATGCCCCAGGTACCCAGGGGGCTATGTGGATTGCTGTTATTCACGGCATAATCTGCAAGATGGTCACCGCAGGACTCAGCCGCACTACCGAAAGACAAGGCTGTGAGAGAAAACTTGAACTGTAACATAATCGACTTTGATGAAAATAAATAATACTTAAGCCCTCTTCTGCTATAGTCTTCGGCATATTTTTGTCTCCTCTTCTCAGTTTATCTTTCTATCTTCAGTTTCAACTTTCAAATATGCTTAGGAACTTTAGTCTCGTGACTGTATTCTTTCTGGCTTTAGCTGCTATTGCGGCTCCTCTTGAGCCCCTTCGGCCCATTTTTCAAGCAAAAAGGGCTTTGCATTCTCTAAGTGATGGCATCCATATCACAAACCACAAGGCTGTCGCCTTCGCTTCATCACGCACCCCTTCTAAGTCTTCTCCACATACTATGAGCTTGACAAAGCGCAGCATGAAGGGACAGAACACTCGCAGCGCCGCTCACCACTTGAAGAAAAGAGGCCAAGCTTCGAGCTCTGGTACCTTAGAAGCTTTGCTGAACGGGACTGAATATGTCACTTCCATCATGTTTGGTAATCAAACGTTTGATGTGGTTGTCGACACCGGTTCGAGTGATACTTGGGTTCCCCAGGCTGGATTCAGGTGTTATGACCAAGATACACATGATAGTGTACCTACGGGCAAATGTGGATTTGGTCCGGAGCTATACAAGCCCAGCAGCACTTTCAAGAGAATCCCTGGCGAGGAATTCTACGTTAGCTACGGTGACGGTGAGTGGGGTTCAGGCTACACTGGCAACGAAAGCGTCACTTTAGCCGGCATCACCGTCAATCAAAAGGTTGGTGTCATGGACGAGGCCGCTTGGAGAGGTGAAAATATCACTTCTGGTCTGGTCGGGCTATCATATCCCGGATTGTATGTATTTCCCCCAGTTTCAAAGCCGTGTCCTAACACGCAAGCCTCATAGAACCAGCGCGACCTCGAATGTCTCCGACGAAAAGCACATTTATAATCCCATCTTCACGACTATGTACAAGCAAGGCTTGGTGGACTCATACTTCAGCCTAGCTTTATCTCGCAATGTCTCCGGAGACGCGGGATACTTGACTCTTGGCGGTCTTCCACCGATTGACTTCGAGGAGTCCTGGACTAGCACCGATATCCTAATCACGAACGTCGAAGAACAAGATCAGGGCTTGAGGTTCTACACAATTAACATTGACAATATGACTGTGGACAATAAGACTATCACCAAAGCCGGTGGCAAGAATAACCAATACATTGTGAGTCTAAAGCCAGTTGGCCGAATTCTAAAGCCAGAAAGCTCACTAACGAATTCTGTCTAATAGATCGATTCCGGCACCACTTACAACTACTACCCAAACGCCACTGCCAAGGCAGTGAACGATGCATTTGATCCCCCAGCCGTTAAGCAGGATGATGGAACATTTTATGTTGACTGTGCTGCTATTCCTCCGGCTCATTCAATCACCGTCAATGGCACCAGCTTCGAAATCAACCCCCTTGATATGATCTATACATATGGACAAGATGATGATGGAAATAATCTCTGTCAAACTCAGATCGTGGCCGGAGGTGCCGATCCTCATCATCAGACCTATATTCTTGGGGATACATTCTTGAAGAATGTTGTCGCTGTTTTTGACGTCGGGGCTGCCGAGATGCGATTTGCCCCTAATGTGTACTATGAGTCCAGCAAGACTTTATAAGTATCACTGAATAGACTCGTGGGATGATTTATTCCGAGTCGAAGTGATACCAAAGTGGATTTATTTTTCGGGTTCCAAGTTGAATCTCATTGGTATTGAAAAAAGTCATAAATATCTACTACACCATTATAAGCCAGGATATCATATTGCCTCATATAGCTTTTCTCAAGTTCCATCTATCACTTTGCATCACCTCATCCCTCCCCTGTGTGGGGATGTACCTCTTGGAGGGCCGAGGACTCGGGCGCGGGTATATTTGATTTAGCTTGCAATGCAAATCGTCCTCACTCCGTTACATGGTATTGCCATCTCTGGAAGTCCCCCAAGCCCGGTCAAATTCTTGCCAGCCCCCAGGCGGTGCGTCCCACATGGCCAACTCTCGCACCACCGTATCATAGTATCCGTCACTGGGCATGTTTCCCTGGCAGACATTGCCTCCAACAGCGATGTTGAGGAGAATTCTGAATTCACTCATCTTCCTCGTGCCAGGTGGCTTTTCGGCCCTCATGATCGGCGTCCCATCAATGAGCCAGACCAAGCGCCCCCTGCCGGTTGATTCGTCCTCGTCCCAGATAAAATCGTACTTCACCCCGACCGGCGAGGTAATATTGGGGATGGGGGTTTCAAGAACACGATGCTTGTTCCAGTCGTCGCCGTTGAAGTGTCCCCAGTGCAGACAAGTGTGGTTGACAGCATCCCCATTCCACGCTTCCATTATGTCGATCTCACCATCCTCGGGCCACTTGAAGGGGTCTTTAGGCAGCAGCCAAAAGGCCGGCCAGATACCTCGGGCAACCGGGGCAATAATTCTGGCCGAGAGACAGCCTCGCGGTCGGCCGAGGGTCTGATGGCTCGTCAGTCGGGCGCTGGTAAACTTCTGTGCGGGATCGGGATGCCCGTGGTTGATCAATGCTCGCACGATCACCGCATCGCCCTGGGTTGAGTGGAATGAGTTGTGCGGGCTGTCGACATAATTCTGCGCCTCATTGTTGCCCCATCCATGTTGACCCTGTTCGTGACCAAAGTTGGCAGACACTGGTGCTTGAGGGTGCAGATTGGGTCGCCAGTAGATCTGGGGTTGCCAGGACTGTCCCTGATAAGCTTGTTGTGGCTTGCTGGAGGTTGGAATAGGCGGTGGGGGAGGATTGTTGTACGATTGCGCCGGCTGGGGATTTTCATTGGTTATTTCGCCCCACTTCTTGTCTGCCTTGTCGATAATGCCCTGGAGGGCCTGTCTGAATGGCATGTTGAGTAGAATAGTGGAATGGATGTATGGATGTATGGATGTTAAGGTTCTCGTTATGGTCTGTTAGCCACCCCCGGAGATCGTTACGATAAACTACCCGGCAGACCCACTTATATCGATCACATGACCAGCCCAACGGATCATCTCGTGTTTATTCGACTTTATATACTGCTAGTCTCTGGCGATATGTAAACTTATTGCTCAATCCTAAGCATTCATTTGTATCTTGTATAAAACTCGAATCGTTCTTCTGGATAAACCCCAGCATCGGTGATAATCTGGCTATCAGCTTGGTTGTCTACATAATTCACGCCTCAGGCATGAATAATATGCAAACTGTACAAATCCGGGACCGCAACAAAACTTTTGCTGGTGAAGATCAAAAAATTTCAAGAGCTTCAAAATTAACTCTCAATTATATACGGCATATATACTGTGCGAAAACTTGAACAGAGCTTTGGTCGCGAAATTGCGCGTTTTATTTTCGGCCTAGCCAATACTTTATTGCCAACACGCGCCTCTCTGCTCGCATCATATCCAAACATGACAGAAGCGCCTGAACTCTCCAACGCAGAGCGCTTCAAAGCGACGCACCTCGCCGCGCGTCATGGCAACTACCATCAATATTACTCCAAATTTCGGGCACCCACCGTTCCAGACGAGCGTCTCTCCATTCTTCCGTCAGATATCCTCCGCGATGCACGAGTCATAGACCTCGGCTGTAACGCGGGAAAACTGACTCATGAAGCAATGGCATACTGCGGCGCAGCCGCCTCAGTCGGCGTCGATATCGACCCGTGGCTGATCGATCAGGCGAAGGCGGCGTACCCAGATGGGCCGTGCACATTTGAGCACTTTGATTTTGTGAATGCGCCCGTGTACACGGGTACCGCAGTGGGCAAGTTCGACGTTGTCCTACTGCTTTCTGTCACCAAATGGATACATCTCAATAACGGAGATTCTGGGATGTTGAAATTATTCTCGCACATACGGAGCATATTGAATGAGGGGGGTTATCTCGTTGTTGAGCCGCAGCCTATGAGCAATTATTCGAGAGCGTCAAAGAGAAATAAAGAGTTGAGAGAAATGTATAGGACGATCCAGATCAAGCCACCTTTCGACGATGAGTTGAAAGCCGAGGGGTTTGAGAGGATAATGGACGTCGAGAGAGACGAGGAGGGGTTTGCTAGGCCCGTACATGTTTGGAAAAAAAAGTAATATAAATATATTATCACAAATAGTTGAGAATGAGTCAGTCAAACTTGATCTCCTTATAACTATCATGAAGACATACTAGACTTTTTGGCTGAGTTGGTCGGTACATCGGCTGTCAGAAGTGTTCAAGTTTGGACACCGTAATGTAGAGTGTTAAGAACTTGAAGTAATTGAACCTCCACAAAAACTTAAAGTTACTACTAGTGCTATGCATTACGAAATGCCAAGTTTGTGCCGGGTTAATCTATGGAACTATGCCAGTGAACTTCCAAGGTTGAGCTTGGATGGATATTACTTCAAGTTCTAGTAGTAGTAGTAGTAGTAGTTAGGTATACTACCTAGAGTACACTGCCCAGGTGCCAGCGGGAGGTATAGCAGGGCTACTAGTACCTAGGTAGCAACATATATTTTGCCCTGAGTACCTTCAAGTTTCGATTTAACAGTTGAGGAGGACATATTGAAAATTGATGGAAAGATCCAGAAGATTAAAAGCGAACTTGATGCAGTACATAACATTCAAGTTTGAGCGTGGAATAAATGAATAAATTCTATCCATGGGCTCGCAATTTGAAAGCCTCTCAAAGTTCTGGTTATAGTATTTTGAGATAGGACTGCGTAGAGGAATGCCTGAGAGGATGTCTCCAACAACAGAATGCCCACCAAGAAATCATATTGTCAAAAAAATCAATATCAAGATTACCACTGTTTCCATGGCCCATGAATTGTTACTCAAAATTCTTCTCAGAGCCAAGAAGATTGATTTTCAACTTTGAGCTGCGATGATCTGTGGGAGAAGGGTCTCCGTGAAGTTCCACAAGATTGCTGAGCTATGGGAGATAACCGCAGCCCCTGTATACCATGTGTTTCTATAGCCTTGTAACTCCTCTAAATCTCTGTAAAACCCGTCGCGAATAGAGTCACCACTGACCACCAGTTTAAACGGCGTATGGCTTTTGAATTCCACGAAATGTGGCACTGGGGATCCGTTTGCGCCGACGGCTTTCTGCAATCGACGGATAACCGCTGTGATGTCTTTTTTCACGGCAGCTTCTTCCAAGGCATAGGGGCTCCCATACCAGATATAAAATAGTCCAGGGATATTTGTTTCAGTGATTTGGTAGGGACCCGGGAGCTTCGGAATATTGGAAAGCGTTGCTGCATTGGCGTTCCGAAATCGGTAACCGGAAGGAAGGCCAGTGTTGTTGACTAGAATAGTATAATATCCGCTGTAACTCCACTGCGAAAAGATATTGGACTCGCGGGTCGTTAGGCCGAAAGGCTTCATGTTGTTAAATAGAGGTGGAATGCTGACGAGGAGCTTCGATGCGATGATAAGTTTGTTCCCTCTGGGAGTTGCCACAGCCAGCTTTACATGAGTGCCGTCGGCTGGCCGGCTGGATGCGACGACTTGGGAAGAGTACAGCACCTTTCCCTTCAGTATCGCAGAAGCTTTGTTGTATATTTCCCCGTTGCCGTCAACACTTCTCACGTCACCCCCTTGTAGGGCATCGATGAATGACTTGTCAAAGATTTTGAACACGTTGACCGTCAACTGTTCCAGTACATTTGACAGGCCTTGCGCAGCCCAGAAGACATTGTATCCTAAATCTTCTAGGTCATACTTTTGCATGAATTTGGCGAATGGCAAAAGAAGGTCGCTAGGAACGGGATTGGGTAAGTTCCAACTCCACTCTAGGTACGGATACTTCTCTATCTGTTTGACGTAGGCCGTATAATTGCTGCTCGCAGTGAACGTGACTTCCTGTCCCGTTTCAAAATTGGCATAGAACTCCTTTCTTGAATACCCCGTGTATTCTGTTGTTTCAATGCCCAGATAATTCAAATAGTTCTGCGTGACCGGTATATTCCAGTACGCTTGAACACCATAGTCAATTGTGATATTCGTCAGGGGATCAGTGTAAGTGTTTGTATGGCCTCCAAGAACCGCCTCTTTCTCGACAAGCACCACGCTTTGCCCTCGTTTGTGGAGATTGATAGCACCATAGGTGCCAGAAGAGCCACCTCCGATCACTGCAACATCACATGTAATAACGTCCGAGCTGGCGTAGCTAGTCGGATCGAATTTATCTTTGGCGTTGGTGGGATGAAAAGTCCAAGGCAATAGACAGAGAGAAGTGGAAAAGGCGCGAAGTGGTTTCATTGCAGCGGCATAAAACTGGAAATTTCGATCGGAAACTCAGATGGTCGACCAGTAGTCCTTTACCTTTATAACGCATGTCGCAGGGTTTCATCCTCCTAATACGAGAACAAATTGAATTCTTTTCTCATAAAAAGTATTCTCGCTCCACTGTGGTTTTCTGACTGACTCTCGTATTTTGCGAGCATCTCAGTAGAATGTAAGCACAGAAAGACAAAAGTACGAACTACATTCCAAGCTTCAGCCACCAGGCTTACGTCGAATCCTTTCCAGGGCTTGTCGACGCCTGAAGAAAGCTTCCTGCAGGAACTCGGAATTTCTTTTCGGAATATCTCTGCTTTGACTTCGGTAACTAAACAACCACGTAGGCTATTTCTTGAGAAGCCATCATCATGGCATGTTATGAGGTGGACTTCGTTCAGGTGGATACTAGCAGTATATCCTCAGAATTATTGCGTAGAGAGCCTTGGTAAAAATAGGTAGAAAATTTTCATGACTAGGCAAAACGACGACTAGTAATTTCTCGCAATTGTATCTTTGAAGATGCACATCACAAGTTAGCACGATGGATTTCCCGCATCCTCAGATCGTCCTTGATAATATCCGATGCCCTTTCAGCAATAGCATACACAGTAGCCATGATCGCGGCGCTGACCTGCATTGGAATAACGCTAGCATCAACAACACGAAGATTTCGAACGCCCTTCACTCGTAGCTTCTCATCTACTACTTGTCCCATCGCGCAAGTTCCCAAGGCATGGTGATATGGCACGATGTGATTCCGAACATAGTCCCGAGCTTCTTCAATATTGGAGAGGTTGACTTCCGGAGAAGGGCTGACCCGCCTGGAAATATTCGAATGTACAATGTTCGACCGAAACACTTGATCCGCAAATGAAATCCCCGTAGCAATAATATCGATATCAACTGGGTGGGATAGAAACCCGGGGTCAATTGCGGGCGGGTCTACAGGATTTGAGGTCCGCACATGTACGCTCCCCCGAGATAACGGATACATGCTGCTAACAACAATGGAGTAGCATGAATTGTAGCCACTGGGTGGGCCAGACATCAGTTTTGCACAATTTTCATGGCCTGCTGCGGTATTGAAATATGCCGGAGTGCCGATGAACTGGATTGCCGCAGAAATTGGATCTTTGATACGTGTGGCGATAACCTCAAACTGCTTGCGTTGAAAGTTGGTATTTTGATGCGACACTTCAACACTGGTGATAGGAACAATATTTTCAAGGGTGTGGCTCATCTGAGCCTCGCTGCATTGTGATGAGTATGCAGTGAAGCCCATGAGGCTAACTGCCCCGGAAAGAGCCCCAGAGTGGTTTTTGACATAGATGTTTTGATGCTCTTCTAGCAGAGCAGGATTCTTGAACAAAGAATCCATTGACATAATTCCATCTGCAAGCTCATATGACACTGGTGTCATGGTATGTTCTTGTAAATTTTCCCCAACATCGCTAATGGGTACTTTGCAAAGAATCCCAGCTTGCTTGAGGAGGCTAGGGTCCCCAATTCCCGAAAGCTCTAGAAGTTGGGGACTTTGAATAGATCCCGCGCTGAGTATCACTTCCTTCTTAGCCGAAGCGACATAAAGATTCCCTCCATAAAGTAGCTCGACCCCTTCTGCGTTGGGTACGCCTTCTGCAGTATTGCCGAGTAAAATGCGACATACTTGAGCATCTTCCAAAACCATGAGGTTTAGGCGTTTGATGGCTGGGTGAAGATAGCCACTGGCTGCATAACTCCGAATTGGCCTGTCAGTTCTGTCCAAGGTAAACAGAGATCTGTAGAATCCTAGATGGGAGCCACTGTATGGCTCAGCCGGCCGTTGGAGACAGGCGGTCTCATCAAATGCAGCGAGTAATGATTCTTCGATAGGTGGCTGCCAGGTACCTATTGAAGTATGTATTGGGCCGTCAACACCATGGGCTCGTGATTGAATTGGACAAGATGGACTGTCCTTAACTGGCTCCATATTCTCATTCCGTTTGAAGTATGGCAGCAGTTCAGACCATGTCCACCCTTTGAGACCCATCTTTCTGCCCCAATCATCGATGTCTTCAGCAGATGGTCTGTTGTAAGACATGAAGTTGATTCCACTTGAACCACCCAGCATTTTACCACGTGGGATGTGGTATGTCTTCCCGTGAGTGCCAGTCTGCACGAAGTCAAAAACTATGCATCAGACGATATTGTTCACAGATTACTCACCTGTGGGACACTCGAGAAATTCCAGTCATAGTTAGGATCACCCATCATCTGACCCGGTCCAGTAGGCAAATTGACCTTGAGATCATCCAACCGCAGAGATCCAGCTTCGATTACCCCGACTTGAATGTGTGGCTCTTCGGAAAGACGAGCTGCGAGCACGAGGCCCGCGGTTCCACCACCAATGATGAGAACATCAAAGGGAATTTTGACAAATTCAGAGATCCCGACTGCAGGCATGATTTACAAAGGTCTTTATGCTTGAGCAAAGAGATAAAAGGTTTAAGTGATTCATTCTTGAGGTGGGCCTGGGTATGTTCTTATAGGAAGCGATCTATGTCCAAGCCTCCTGTGAGCACAGTAATAAACAGGATATTCCCCACCTTCCTAATTGGATACATCATGAGCATGAATATCCGTTGAGGGATGAAAGCAATTGGACAGGCAAGTTTGCACTGTAATCAGCTATTCAGGAGTCTCATGAGATCGTGAAATGGCCTGAAGCTACGTTTGTGTCAAACCAATTTACAAAACCAATTTGACTTTGAGCTTATCGCCCTGAATAATCTCTTCCTTGCGACACATCAACTCTGCCATGTCCCAGTTAGCGCTTAGATAGCGTCCAGCCAGCCAAAGTTGTCGCTCTTGAGTCAACCAGACAATTGTGTCGGCACACAATTCTGGTGAATCCACCAACTTGGCTTTTGTGTCTTCAGGCAGATTCGATGCCAGCTCGGTATCCACGGCCCCCGGATGGATTGCAAAGGCCAAAATACCCTGAGCAGCGTATTCAACACAAGTGAACTGTGTCAAGCGCAGCATCGCTAATTTCCCAGTCTGATAGGCAGATGCACCTGGCCGAGTCAAGTGGGCACCGATCGAGTTCATATTGACGATGGTCCTTTCGCCACCTTTCAACAGAAGAGGCAACATGGCCCTTGTCATAAGATAAGTGCCCTTGAGGTTGACCTCCCACGTCCCCCACCAGGCTTTAGGATCAGTTTCCGCGAGGGGGACCCATTTCTCGACGCGACCGGCATTGTTCACTAAAACATCGAGACGGCCAAAATCACGTTCAACCTCCGCCGCTGCATCTGCAACACTCTGTTCGTCCGCAACGTCGAGTACCAGTTTCAGGACTTTTGGTGGAGGATGGCCTGATGATCGTGCGGCATCGAGCACCGCCGCCTCAGTGGCGTCAAGGGATGATCGTGCGCCGAGTGCAATTGAGGAAGCGCCTGCTTGGGCAAACGAAACTGCTACCGCGCGACCAATGCCCTTTGATGCACCTGTCACGAACACTGCTCGTCCTTGCTGTTTGCATTTGGAGGCTGTGATGGTAGGATAGCTATCATTGTGTGTCTTAGAGATCCAAGTGAAACCTGCAAGGACCGAATGTTAGCTATCTGAGATTAATTGACTGCGCTCGGGTGGACAGGGGTTTAGCCTACCAGCGGATGGTGGGAATGCCATTTTGCTCGTTGTTTTGCAATAGTGTCGCGGAGACTTGCATGATTACATTACGTGTTTCTTAAATAGACTCGTTTACTTGCAGCTGATACTACACTTGAAGGATGGCGGGATGGGTTTCGGTCTCCCTGGGAGTAACGGATTAATCTTTCCGGATTATCTGGACGTTGCGACCTTTGTGGAGATATAACAAAAATACGAGTCTCGTATCTCGGAGCATGATATGATGCCGTGAAGACATTTGTCATCTGCCAGCCCGCGAATTCTTCGGATAAAAGAGATCCGAGGAAGATATTCCGCCACTCACCTCGGAAAATCTTTACTGATCAAACAAAGAAACAACATGGCTCCATCCAATTGGAAACTGCTGATAGCTTCTTTCACATCGAAGCGACTGGGTATATTAATAATCATTATGGAATAGAACATGGATGATCAAGAATTCGGTGGAACAGACTGGCATATAAAGACCAGGCTTGAGTGGATGAACTGGAATAATCTCAGCAACCTTTCAAACAACAATATTTTCACAAGGTTCTTCAATATCGAAATCATGTCTCCAATTCCCGCAGGAACTCCTGTTGGACTCGAAATTCCGGCCAAGGATGTGGCTCGAGGTAAGATCTCCCGATGTTGTAATCAATTATCCGAAGACATAATCTAAGCGATACTGGTAGGGGCCGCATTCTACAAGGCAGTGTTCAACTGGACATTCGCCCCCTCCTCTCTGGGTTTCCCCGCTCACAAGCTTCAAACTTTCGAGGTGCCAGGTGGTGTTCTGCCCATCGGAGGGGCTATGCGCCTAGTGGAAGAAATCCCAGCAGGCTCGGGATCTACTAAACTCTACCTCTATGTAGAGAATATTGTGACCGCTTTGGAGGTGAGTTGTCAATGAAAGATATCAATACCTCATTGGCTAATCTATTCAAGGCCATTGAGAAGAATGGTGGTAAGAAGGCAAGCGAGGTGCTTCCCGAAGGTGACAAGGGACTATTCCAATACTTCGAGGATAGCGAGGGCAACAACTTCGCTATCTACACCTACAAATAACCGACTGGAATCTTTCCTTCGTGACGGAGATTGTATGGAAATTCATAGCAGAACATAGACATGAGAGAAAGCGCCTGAAAACATACTGCAGTACAAGCGTGGAGACAGCCATGCCAGGAACCTCCATAAGTATCTCTTATATTTGATCAATTAGCCAGTATTTGGTTAATTCAACCTGTAGTTCTTCAAAAGGATCCCCTGTTCCCCCGAAGGAATAAGGAGTAGCCGGCTCGGAGTTTGACAGGGACCGTAGAAATCTATCCGGGTCTTGTTGCTCGTAAATGCAGTATTGATTCTTGAGGGTCGTGCACTACGTAAGCATAGTTAAAACTTCTACCCAACGGATCTTATATATTTAGTATAATCCATCTCTTCCTCTCTTACTTCCCAAGGACTAATTTATCGCTTACCTAGGCAAGTCATCGTCACTAAATCACACACCGGGCCAATCGAAGACGCAAGAAATCATGGCCGTAACAGCAGCAGAAATTCTGAAGACAATCCCGCCAGTCAGTGAATATCGTTGGTCGTGCAAGGATGTTTCCCAGCGGTTCACCGTCGTGAATCCCGCGACAGGGAAGCCGATAACTGTCGTCCAGGCCGGAAATCCCGACACAGCAGATAAGGCTGTCCAAGCATCACAAAAGGCATTCGAGTCGTGGCGATGGAAGACTCGACAAGAACGCTCAGTCTATCTCATACAGGCAGCCGACGAGCTTCAAAAGCACATCGGTGAATTGGCCATTCTGCTATGCCTTGAGAACGGGAAACCTGTCAAAGATGCATCATTTGATCTTATGTTTCTGGTGGGAGTGTTTCGTTACTTCGGATCTATTGCGGACAAACTACCTTCGGAATTTTTCGACCAAGGAAACATCTATTCGAGTGTGATTTATGAGCCACATGGGGTGTGTGTGGGGATTTTGCCGTTCAATTGGCCTCCGGTCCATGCTGGGGGGAAATTGGCCCCATGTCTGGCGGCTGGCAATACCATGGTCCTAAAGCCAGGAGAGCAGGCTCCGTTGACATTGATGCGCATTGTTCAAATACTGCAGTCCGTTTTTCCCGAAGATGTTGTCCAGGCGATTCCTGGTCTGGGCCCGGAGTTGCCACAGGCCTTGATCAGTCACCCACTAGTCAAAATGGTCTCGTTGACAGGCTCTACCGCATCAGGCTCGAAGGCTGCCCAGCTTGCTGCAGTTACCCTGACCCCTACAGCACTGGAGCTTGGAGGAAAGAATGCCTTTGTTATCTTCGAAGACGCTGATCTAGAGTTAGCTGTGCGCGATACTGTCGATGGGGCCTTTTTCAACAAGGGTGAATCGTGCACCGCCGCATCACGGATTTTAGTTCACAAAGACCTTTACCCGACTTTCGTTGATCGCCTCACAATAGCAGTCAAGAGGTTGCGCGCCGGTGATGGACTTGATGAAAAGACGCACATCGGCCCTGTTGTGTCTCTGGAGCGTCAACAGGAGATTCTATCCTATATCGAAGAAGGCAAGCGTCAAGGAGCGACTTTATCTGCGCAGGGAAGCCTACCTACAGCCGAAGATTTAGCGGGGGGGTTTTATGTGGCCCCAACGCTCTTCACAGACGTCAAACCTGAAATGACTATTGCACACAAGGAGATCTTCGGACCTGTCGTTGTTGTGGGTTCTTTTGAAACGGAAGAGCAAGCCGTCACAATCGTCAACTCCTCGCAGTACGGACTTTTTGCAGGGGTATACTCCGCGGACTTCAATCGAGCTCTGCGAGTTACTCGAAAGTTGGACGTTGGGGTCGTGTTGGTGAATAATTACTTCCGCGCGCTTTTGGGAACGCCGTTCGGTGGTGTGAAGGACAGTGGATATGGCAGGGAACATTGGATTGGAACACTAAGGGAATGGAGTCGTATCAAAAACGTTCGCTTCCCAAGCGGACTGGGTACTATACCAGCTTGGGGTAGCGCTAGTGATGTATGCAAGCTGTAGTAGTCTCTGCAGTTACACCCACTTCAGCAGAGAAACATGTTCTCGGTCTTAGATGGTTTAGGGAGATTTAGCCGATACGACGATTTCAATCGTGCCACACCAGTCAACTAGTGAGAGTTTGCAAATCTTCAAAGTAGTGATCGTCAGATAGCCTTTTTTTTTCCTCTTGGGAAATCTTCACGGGTAGGTTGCCTGATCGACTATACATGCTCACCACTTAAGGCCTCCCGCCGTGCAATTTGAACTCGAATAGGTGAGCTAACCCTTACTTCTTGAATGCTACGATGGAATAGAATTTAAAGTAAATATAGTTCTTTTCACTCGTGAACATCAATATACAATGCAGCGCCTGGTTTACGCCGAATAAATCGCAACCTGGGATTTGAAGATATCATGATACTAGTACTAGTGTTTGTGTAATAGTAAGCGTCAAATTGCCTTGTACCTTGTGGCAACTTGGAATCCATGGTTAAAAAAAAACAAAATTGCTCTTGCGACTAGTATCACGGCCTTGTATTTTTGATATTTTGATGAGTCCTACTAGTAGAAGCAACTTAAGTGGAAACTACTAGTACACTAGTGTAGTCAAATATATTAGCATATTCAAGTTCCGGTATCAGTTCCCACTGGCAGTAGTATCAATGCCCACTGGCAGTAGTGCCAGTGGCTAATCCTCCATTTCACTGTGTTTTAATATGATTTTGTCCCGAGGTCGCATACCACTTCAAAACAGCTGTACTTGCAAGTTCTTCAACTTCGTTTCTTTTCTCAACTTGCACGTTCCTTCGCTCAAATTATCAAACCAAATCCTGTGAAACTTGAATAATAGACACTGACAATCCCCACTTTTTAAATCTACCAGTTTCCTCACTCATACAGGCTGCGTCTTCTCAGAGCCTCTTTGCGTCGAGGCCTTGTGGAATGCCACTGGCAGGGCTTATTACTGTGGATGCTATTCGTTCTGATATAAGAATTGTGTTCATGCCAATGCCTTCTTCTATCATCATACTATCACTAGTTTGATGAAAAATGCGAAAATATTCTTTCCTACTATACTACTAGTAGGTACTACCTAGGTAGTACAGACATATAACTAATATTTATAGTGGAAACTTGGCATACCAGTAAGTATCCATACCTACTAGTTATTAGTAGTGTTGTCTCAGTGCCAATCTACCGAAAGAGCGTTCAATTTCTGGGCATGACTAAATTGGTCGAATTCGGACTATAAGTAGTACTTCAAGTTGATAATAAATACAGCTTGAACTACTTCGTAGTCTTTGAAAGAATTGAATTCGATATTAGTGCTCTTACGAGCACAGTACTATGTATGCACTCCCCGCACTGAACTACGTAAGCAAGGGGGATTTTGTTTGTAATCCGCTTCACTGGCTTATGCCATGGGCCCCTTGATACTCTTCCTTATCCTCCCCTCTTCTTCACTTAGCCATTGTTCTTCTCTTGTTGCATCCCCGTTGAAGACGGCTTTCATGATTGTCACATCTCGCAATATCGATATGGTGTGGACCATTCTACATGATAACCGAATACGGTCACAAAGTTACACATAAGTAAGCGCTAAGGGGGCTGTGATAGCGCATCACACCTTGGGGCCAAAGCCAAAGTACGCCAATCGACGCCAAAAGACTTCCACTCCACTCCAAAGTACCTCGCCTCTTTCGCCTGAGCGCATCACTCGGTTGCGCCCAGAACTCTTCAGTACATTCTCCAATACTCTCGGGGTCTCCCCCCACTTTAGCCTGGACGCTACAGGAAACAAGCTCCCAGTGTCCATTTATAAATTAAGCACCGTCCGTGCGACTCCATCTGCCACTGGCCGCGACTAATGATCTGATCTGCTTCCCCTTGAGCCCTGCTTTCTTCTCTTTTTTTCTTCTGCTATCCCCCCCAAGTCACCTGATCACATGCTGCTCACCAGCGATATGGATGCCCTAACACGTCGAGACCAGTCTTCTCGGTCCACCGGAAGACAGCGGCAACGGACAGGAAGAGCCTGTGAAGAATGTCGCCGTCGTAAGCTTCGTTGCGATGGACAGCAACCGAGGTGTGGTGTTTGCCTCGAGTCGGGGGCAACTTGCGAAATCAACACCCAACGCCAGCCCAGGGGCCCTAAAAAAGGTTACCTGAAAGCGTTGCGGAATCGAGTCGGTATATTTATGATTCCAAGAACAATTGAATTCTATGAGTTTGGACGCTGACGTAAATCACAGCGATGCTCGAGAATCGTCTTCCCGCCCATGACCCTGCCAGCTTCTCCAAATTCAATACGCTACCAACCCCCCCTCACTGACGAGTATGATGATGGCTGCAGTGTCACTAGCCCTTCCAATCGTTCCGAATCATATTCATCTCCACTTCTTGTTGATAACACAACGGTTTCAGAGTCGGATACGTCCCTGCTGAATACAGTGACGAATGCGACGAGTGTCAGTTCAATACAATCGGTCGGAATCTATAGCAAAGACGTTATTGGGGTCGAACCAATATCCGAATTCATGCAGGCAGAATTGTTTGTTACCTACATATCCCCGATTCCTTGGGAATTCATGGCTGATAACGATCGGTGTTAGAAATCAACTATACTTTGACAGAGTTCATCCATCTATCCAGATACTTCATCACCGTCGCTATTTAAGTTGGGCTCGAAAAACCGTGAAAAGGATATCTCGTCGATGTCTACAATATGCCGTGTGGACCCTGGCGTCGCTGCTCTCAGCACAATTCAGACACCTTCAAGAACCATTCTACCAGGAAACTAAACGATTGCTAGAGCACTCTTATATATCAGGTGATCCGAATAACGGGGTTGATACAGCAGAGATTCAAGCATGGATATTGATAGCAACCTATGAGTCGATGCGAACATTTCATCGCTCGGCGTGGATGAGTGCCGGACGTGCCTTTCGTCTTGTGCAATTGATGCGCCTACACGAGATCGATAGTCCGACAAAACCTCCAGTTCCCGAGGCAGATCTGATTGAAACAGAAGAGAAGCGTCGAGTGTTCTGGATGGCCTATTTTTTGGATCATTTACTAAGTATGCGTAATAACTGGCCGATCACTTTGAACGAACATGTGGTAAGGCTCCGATTATATCCAGGTCAAAGCCACTCGATCACATCTGATCTAGTATTTGATTTTTAGATCTGCACCCGTTTGCCGGCAGCGGATGCAGACTTCCAGAGCGGCCAACCGGTGCTAGGGGCTTTCCTCTCGGAAGCAATCATGGATGTTATGCCACAAAAAGCCTCCCCGTTCAATGAATGCGTGGTTCTCGCCACAATATGTGGCCGTAGCTTATTCCATGCCCAGCAATACAGTGTTCGCTTTGTGTACGGCGATTTGGCCCCCAACTGGATCGACCAACACCAATGGCTTGACAATGTTCTTACGAACCGACTTCAGATTCTTTCCCAGTACTACCCCTCTCCGGCTCAAATATGCGATCCGCTGATCTCCTTCGCACATATCATGGGACAGGCGAGTGTAATTCATTTATATAAGGGAATTGAATCTGCTGTGTGGACAGTTGACAAAGAAGCCTGGGTGCTTGAATATCAACGGCGAGCATTTAGTGCCGCACAAGAAATTGTCAAACTGGCAAAAGGATTAACAGAGTTCAATTTCTTCAAGGTATGCCAGAATGCATCAACAACTATTTCATTTATTGCGGAGAGGCTGGTTAACGAGTTTTCAGATTCACCCCCTCATGCCCATTCCATTATTGCTCTGTGCGGAGTTCCTTTACGGCAATCGTGGCTCAGATGGGGCTTTTAATTCGCTACTTCAAGAGCTTCTACAGATCTTCCGAGAGCTCAAGAATGCCAACGACCCGAGTCAAAGTTACATAGATTTGTTAGAACTTTCATGTACCAACGCATCCATAGGACTTGTCGGGGAGAGCTCTTCTGCTCCATGATGATAACTTGAACTGGTGGCAGGGCTATTATGAGTTACCTGTTGAATGAAATAACGACTATATACTGTCTAAAAGGTTGGTGAGTGTTACAGGTGTCGCTACATGTTTCTTCTAGATGTGAATAAATATCGTGTTTATTGAACTCCAACTGAAATATCCATAACATCCATCGGAGAATACTAGCAGTATGATGAGACATTCTGTGAACTATCTGATTACTTTGCCTTGTGCTTATAAGTGGTGGCTGTACGCTCCACCATGTGCTCTTCCACGGTGATTACATCCTCTTCATCGGAATCCTGCCCAACACGATCCAGAGGCCTCAATTTATAGTCCACATTGCCGTCAAAGAAAAACACTACACTGTAGCGGTCGGTCGGATTCTTGTTGATGACACGGTGAGTGCTGCTTCTGTAATTTCCCCTGGTGATTCTGCTAATCATATCCCCTATATTGACCACGTAGGCATCTTTGTTCGGAGGAACTCCGATCCATTCACCCGTTTCATGGTCTTGTACCTCAAGACCTGCATGTTCATCTTGGAGAAGAAGCGTAATGGCTCCGAAGTCCGTATGTGCGCTGCTGCCTAGCTGGCGACCCTTTGCCAGGTCCATATCGGGGGTAGGCGGGTAATGGAGCAGCCGAAGCGGGCATGCAGGGTCGTTCTCTTTGAACTTATCGAATACATGCGGTCCATATGGCAATGTATCCGCAACAAGATCCAACACCAACCAGCACAACTTTAACATAGCCTCATAATATTCTTCAATAGTGTACCGGAAGTCTTCCTCAGCTAGCAGCTCACTGGGCGGCCAAACGTTGGGTCCCATGAAGAAACGCCGGCTCACCACTCGAGGATCGTCAATGGGAATGTCCGTCCCAGAGATGAAGCCTTCCTTCAAGTCTGGTAGCACACCTTCTTCGTACGACTGTGAAGCCATAGGATCGTATCCTCGGAAACCAACGCCCTTGCAACGTGACTTGACCTCTCTTGGAAGGTCGAAGAACCTAGCTGCTGCCGCGAAGACAGATTGCTGCAGGGCGGGGGAGATTCCGTGTCCGAGTAGTTGGAAAAAACCAGTGGACTGGCATGCAGCTCGCACGTCATCGATTACCTTGCGAGCGCCTTCACTGTTGCGGTCCTCCAGATAGGGGCTGATATCGACAGCCGGGAGATAGAAGGATGATTCTGTTGAGATAGGCATTTTATTGAATCTTTCAGGAACACGTCTTTATCGTGTCAAGGATTCCAAAACAGCAGTCGGGTCTCGTGCATCAAATACCTGTTATATATGGCCCATTGCGTTGTTTCTAATATCCTTTGCGACAACTCATGGCCTCAAGGGACCAATACGATTGCATGATTTGATGAAGTAGTCTTATTTGGTAAATGAAATGACCGATTTGAACACAATAAATCAAGAGGGGGAATGATGTCGGATAATCCTTTATCGGAAAATCAGTCATCGGAAGAGAGTTGAAGTTGCAGAAATGGTACGCCGTGGCTTCGTGGCTGGATTCTTATCATGGTCCACGGGCGTGAAGGAGCAAATAAGGGTACATTTCCCACTTCTGGATCTCGATATATCTGGCCCGCAGGTAGTGTAGTGTACTTTGTATCAGAACACCCTTGAACAACAATCTGGAACTCGAGCACTTCAAGTTCAACTTTCTGCGTGGCTATAAATCCCAATAGAATACAGTCAAAAATTATTCATTTCTTCAAGTTGAAGGTGGACCTCTTCTTTATCATTTGCCTTCATCACTCACACAGTCCTCTCACGATGGTGCAAACAAATCCAACGACGGCTGACGATACTTTACACCTTCCCCGAATTCTCTGCCTTCATGGGGGAGGATCCAATGCCGCCATCTTCCAATCTCAGTGTCGCCGACTCATTGCTCAACTCAAGTCCGAGTTCCGCTTTGTATTTGCACAGGCGCCGTTTCTATCCGAAGCGGGCCCAGATGTCATGTCGGTATACAGTCAGTGGGGCCCATTCCGACGTTGGCTCCGTTGGAGCCCCGATCATCCGGAGCTTCGGCCTCAATATGCAATCCGAGTACTTGACGACTCTTTAGAAGAAGCCAAGCGCCAAGACGATGCAAAGGGAGCCACTGGAGCGTGGGTTGGTCTGCTTGGCTTTAGTCAGGGCGCGAAGATGTGCGCCAGTATACTCTACCGTCAACAGGTTCGCCAAGAACCACTAGGACGGCGATCCGGAGATTCGGAATACGACTTTGGCATTCTCATAGCGGGCCGTGCGCCGTTTGTTTGCCTAGACCCGCATCTTGATCTACCTTCCCCTTTGCCCGATGTGTCGCAGATCACCGATGGGAAATACGAAGGGCCGTGTCCGAATGTTCTACGCATCCCCACTGTGCATGTACATGGAATCCGAGATCCCCATGTGGCACTTCACAGGCAGCTATTTTCTGACTTCAGTTCCGCCGAAAGTCGGAGGCTTGTTGAGTGGGATGGGGACCATCGGGTCCCGTTGAAGTACAATGATGTTTCATTGGTGGCGTATCAGATTCGAGAACTGGCAATACAGGCGGGTCTAAGATAAGCAATTTAGAACCATGTTATATAATATCGCTTATTTACTAATTTCAGAAGACACATTCCTTATGGCGTGGTGGGCTTCACTGCCAGAGAATATACCGTGACTCGGACCCGTGGGCTGTACTGTCCCATAACTTCAAGAAATTTTGGAAACTTTGAAAAAGACTAGTAGTAATGAACTTAAAGCCCCAGTATGCATGTAATTGTAGATATCGATTTAGTCATTTTTGACTTGCCTTCACGGCCTGGCCTTCTGGAGAGATTCTTTGTGTAGCCGAGGGAAACATTTGAGATATCCATGGATATTTCCAAGGCGAATGTTAGTAGATAGCACCTGGTCAACGCCATGAATTATCGATTTTCGGTCCAAAGCATTTATTACTGGCTGTTTCTGGACATACCCGTGCTAATGGACTACATCTTAAGCCGATATTTTGCTCGAAAACTTCGTTATCAAATGGCGTCTATGGTTCACTGTGTATATTAGCGAAAGGCCGATTTCGCACGGTTAACGCTCAACGCAAAACAAACAATGCTTATTGTACGAGAAACATGAAACCATACGACTCCACTCGCGACATAGCCCCAGAAACAGGAAGTCTTCATGCAATCAATAATACAATGGAGGTGCATGATGTGGCTGGAGACTTGATGAAGCATTGACGGGATTTTGCAGCCCGTTTCAGGTAAATGCTATTCCTGACGAGAATCTGAACCTGAAGCACGTGTTTCTCGCAAGCGAAATATGCAAATAATTGACTGGTGGATACGAAGCAATGAGTGTGCATGCATTAGTACGCGTCATGCACGGCCTCATTGCGGCCCATATGGGGCCATGGCTTTTTAAGTACTCAAGATACTCATTTCTCAGATGCTACCTCGTACTCGTGCGCGATACGAGGTTGAACTTACGCGACACGTCCGAGTCCTTTGTAAAGACTTATCTTGCATATACTCTTCCAAATTCAATTAGATATGGCCGATCGCTCTTGAATTTAGAAGATGCGCACAGTGTATTCATACTGAGACGGCCTCGTATACTAGTAGTGGGGTTGCACGAATCCTTTCGTACTTTTGTTGGCCAAGCTTACGCCTCAGTTCGATCTTGTTAAGGCCCGCCACCTCAATCGGGCCGTCCCGAAGGTCTCCAGTGTGGAATTTGGTGTAAGACTTCGGAATCATTCCTCGGAATAACTTGGATACTTGGATTCAACTTTGCAACCAAAGCCTTCAGGATTGTTATGTCCGAGGGAGTCGGTGGCAACTAGCAAGTTTGTCGTGTTCGTCGTATGGACCGAGAATTAGCGCTTACTTTCGGAATCTACTATCACCATCGTACTCCGTAGTGTGCGATTAGATTGTCCGATGCAAAGAGACGCAAGGAACATGGAGAGAAAGATGAATACGGGTCTACGGGGCCACCAAGTTTGCGCGGGGCATTAACTGACCGGAGTAACTTCGAATTTATGCTCTACTAGTGGAAATAAACTCGTCGTGCTTGAAATTCCGGTGTAATTGCAAATTTGAAAGCATTCACCTACTACTAGATGCCAAAGTCATATATAGTTGCTGCCAACCACAATAATAAGCATATCTCTCACACACTCCAAGGTTCCAAATTCTCTTTCATTTCTGAGTGGTATTTCGACCAGTTCTTTATCATTGCAAAAAAGACTCCTACCAGTCGGCTCCAACGCGGCTCAGGAAAGTAGTCTCATTGCAAGCATCGATCATGAGTGAATCAACTCCACAGATCGAGGTGAAGCCCAAGGCGTTTGTATTTGGCTCGCAAGACTTGTCTTTCAACGCCGTGTCTTTCAAGAATCTTCACAGTCAACTTCATAGTCAGCAATGGGCCATCGATGTTCTTGCTAGCCTTCCAGATCTCTGGGACAAGCTCTCAACCAGTGGACTGCGAGTTCAACAATCCGATAGCAGACACCTACTCGATAACCTGAACTCATGGATAGCGAGTGGGAAAGCTCCAGAGGCAGCATTTCCTTTGCCAAATATACTGCTTTCGCCCCTTGTTGTCATATGCCAATTGATTGACTATCTCGATTTCATTCAGTCAGGCATACCGGGGCTAAGAGATGAGGATGACTTTTCCAAAACATTCCCTGAAGATATGGAGACACTCGGTCTTTGCATTGGTACTTTGAGTGCCTTTGCAGTGGCTTGCTCCTCGAACATGGCCGACATTCAAGCTAACGCAGGCGTCGCTATAAGACTGGCCATGTTAATTGGTGCTACTGTTGATGCCGAGGAGGACTCTCGCGAGCCAGAAAGGAAGTCGATGAGCTTTTCGGCTTCATCGGGTGGTTCTGAATCTGGCGAATCATTTACTTCCGCCCTTGACTCATTCACAGACGTGAGTTCCGAGGAATTGCCAACAACACCGCTTCAACTGCTAATCTTCGTTCTCTAGGCTTAT